GAATACAAAGTTGTCCTTTTTATATCAAAACACGATCTGCTTTGTCAGTCACATCTTAATTTCTTAAGTCTGAGTTCATTTAGATATTAGAGAGCTGGTACTGCTATGTTTATAATTTAATCTAATTGCAGTGTCCTCATATTAACTCAGTGCTTACTGAGCTGTCATAATTATAGTACTTACTGTAATTAATTATTGGTCTTATTGATTTATCATAAGTAAAATAAATAAATTATTCATTTGTTCTTGTAATAATAGCTGTTTTACTATAATAATAGGAATATGTTCTTAGATGTAATAAATTCAACAACCAAGTGTCTGGATCACCACATGAAAAGAAAATAAAGTAAAATATAATATAGACAAAAGAATTCATGAGAACTTGTGTAGGTTGTTTATTTCAAAAGAAAAGTAAAGGATAATAAAATTCGATTGTTTTTTTATATGGAACTATCTACTAATATTTATATATTTTTCTAATTTATAATTCAGTATGTGCTTAAGTAATCTTTATCACAATTAGTCATCTTCCAGGAGTATTGTTCTTCTGGAAAGATCCAAAAAGACCAATTGATATGATACTTCTCCAGTCAGATCAGTCTGAGAGTTTTGATAAAGAAGAGCATTTATGCTATTGATAATATTTTATTATTCCAACTCAGATACTTGGGTAATGTTTCATAATATTAAATAGTTGTAGTTGCAGTCTCTCAATTAAGTATTTATATAATAAAAGAAATATATAGATAAAATATAATGATGTCATATATATAATGTATATGTATTTGTGTATCACATGTCATGGTGATAATAATAAATAATCAATTATGTGTATAATGATCTGTGTATTAAATAATATCATAAAGAGAGATCCGTTTGACTAGAATAACTGAGGATATTATTTTATCCTTCAGTCTTACTCTTAGATTCAGCAGTAATCAATACTCATTCACAACAATTATTTCTGCTATGTGAGAATGTAAGTGAGGATCAAGGTAATTAATTACAAAAAGAGGTTTGTTTACCCTTTCCTCTTTTTGGAACAATTGGTTTAAACCTCCTCTTTTGTTTAAGCTCTGGCTTACTGGCTACAATAATTTATCTGATTATAAATAACTGTGGTATTTCAGATATAAAACAATAGAAAAATAATAAATTTGATAATAGAGATATATAGAAATACTTTGAGACTGTATATAAGTTATCCTTTATTCATAAATAAAAAGTGTCCCTTTTTATAAGAAAACATAATCTGCTCTTGTCATTATGTCTTAGTTTCTTAAGGCTTTCTTCCTTTACTCTATTTGATTATTAGAGTGTATTTACTACTTAACTAGTGTCGGTGTTATAATTATGACATCAAGTCATAAATTGTACTTCTTTAGCTCTTAGCTATTCTTTTCTCTTTTATACTAGAGCTTTAGGACTTCCTATTAAATTAGCTCCATATCGATCTGACATAGTTTACCCAGTAGTATGATATAATTATCTTAACAATCTTTAAGATATTATTTACAGTACTAGCTATAATAATTATTGGGCTGATTACTTAATCATTTATATATATTTTATACTGACAAGATTATAGCTACTACACTATCCCAATATGAATATGTTCTTATATGTGCTAAATCCAATATCCGAGTATCTAGATCACTACAGCAGATATTATAATTTGGAAATATATATATTAAATTATATTCCTAAATAATTTTCTATTCTTATTAATTTTAAAGACTTAAAAAAAACATATATATACAATAGAGGGTTTCACCAGCTTTGAATGTTGACTGTTGAATATAGTAGTAGTTTAATTTGGAAAATGATTGACTGTAATGAATTTTCAAAAAATGAAAAACAAGCATCCAAGCATTTAAGAAAATAGTTTGATACTTTAAATGTTGTGACTTAGCCAAAATTCTATAAATTTTGTACTTTATATATGATTGATGATTAAGTTCATATAGAAGTAAAGTAAAAAATAAAACATAATTGTTGTAAATGAGTATTGACTACTGCTGTAATTGAGAATAAGTCTGAAGAAAATAATACAAGGTCTCAGCTATTCCAGTCAAAGGTGTTTACCAATGACTTTATTATTTAACACACAAGTTTATCATGCATGATAGTGATTATATTTCATATGATAATATCACCATAATATGGGATACATCAGTAGATTATTATAAGCATAATTATAACTCATAAACACATTTACTTTCGATGTTAATACTTCATTGGGACTACACAAATTTATATAATTAATTATATATTAATTATCCCAATATCATGTTGCTCTGATTAAAGCTCAGATAGAATCGATTACCTGACCCCAGTCATATACTTTTTCCAATCCAAAACAATATAAATAGCAGTGGCAGTTCAGTGTAGGAACCTAATCAAATTTTGATATCAAATCTTTTCTTAATAAATAAAACCTATACAAGTTCTCACAAATCTTTGTTTCTCATCTCAAGTCTTCAATTCTTCCTCTTAAAACTTCTTCAAACTTCAACTACCACAACAGTAATCAATCTATATAAAGTAGTTATCTTGATATCAAATTATAGAAGTCTAACTTACTTGTGAGGAATTTGGGCATAGGCACTATATTTATGGGTACTCTAATCAAGCATATTGTACATATGAATTTTGACGTATATGAGAGAAAACATATTAACTAAGGGTCATTAGAGGGTTTCATCAGTCTTTTTCAATACTTATTATTGACTGGTACTTAAACTACCAATATATCTAACAGTCAACATCCAAAGCTGGTGAAACCTCCTAATATATCAAACAACAATAACAATCCAGAATGCAAATACTTTAAATGTTCTTCCAATAGTATAAGATTTGTTTTGATTTCTACCCAAACACTCAGAAGACATACCCAATAAGATTTTGTGAGACAATGTCAGTCAGGATCTTCTTATAAATTCAAATTTAGAAAGATAATTATTATAAGAATTTTAATTAGATATTTATTTTCATATAATATAGTCTCAGTTATAGAAGTAATGTCAAATGAAAATGACACAGAGATTAACTTTGAAAATAATATTGATATCAAAGGTCAAGTTGAAGATATATATAATATTTTTATTAAAGTTTTATAATCATTTATAATATCTAATAATTTAATTCTTTTTTATTTTATTTTTGAAATAAATAATGTATATAGAATCTCATAATTTTTTGTCTACCTTTTCAATTGTTTTATTTCTCTCCATAATATTTATTATGTAAAATTTGTGAAAAAACATATATTTTCAAATTGAACGTAAATACTTTAGCAGAAACATTTTTTGCTTTTTTTCATTATATATTTATTTATGATCTTATAGCACAAATCCGTGAGAAAATATGTTTCCTAGCATTTTACATATAGAAAAGTATATATTTTAAAGAAGTGTTTTTATATTATTTTGTGTGTTTTTTTTTGTTTTGTCAATTTTGATATTCAGATTTTTTTTGACAAGCATTCTAGTTTTTTTTAGTGCATTCATTTTGTAAAGCTATTGAATATAACAATACTCACTACTACATACTCTTTAATTGTTATTATTTTAAACACTTATGCTGATACTTGCTCAAAGAGATAGTTGACTATATAATATCAGAAAATAAAGATTTGTATATTAAAAGATATAATTGATAGTAAATTATATGAAATTCAATATTTACAGATTTGATATAGCTGTCATGAGCTAATAAATAACAACTAGTAAATACTATGATCTTAAAGCTTTTAGTATGCTCATTGCTATCAAAAGATATTCCATTTAGTATTGTATATAATGAGTATATAAAGGATTTACTATGTAAAAGAGACAGATGTTGTTGTTCTAACAAAATAATACTTGAATCTAATTGAATGCAGTTAAAGAAAAGGATGGATACAAAAGTAAAGTTAGAATACATATATTTTATAAAGACAGACTACAATATGAATTGTAAATGTTATTACAGTGACATCAAAAGAATATAAAGGTAGCTCTATTATCAAAATTATTAGTAAATACTAAATGCTTAAGTAAATGTATATTTAATGTCATATTTCTAGTCATATACTTTACCAAAAAGAAGATGTACAACTTGATAAACTGTTTGAAAACAAAAGTGGTGAGTAAAGAAGTAAAAGAAAGAAGCAAAAAAAAGGAAAATGTTTTATCATAAATTTGTGTTAAAAAGTATAAGAGAGAAAAGAAAGAAAAGTAGCTTGAATTCAAATATATAGATTCCAAAGCATAGTGAAAGATAAACAATGTTTCAAAAAAAACAGGGTGTTTTTTTTACCCAAAGACATATAACTCTCTAATGTCAAAGTAAATATTTTTTTAATTGATAAGCAGCAGTGCAAAACATTGGTTAAAGTAAATGTCCAGATGCATAGTCTATGTTATATCCAGTAGAATTAGCTTAATAGAATTATTGCCACCAAAAGTTAAAAAACCTGGAGAGTTAAAATATTATAAATTTGTCCCTTTAATTCAACAGAAGTTTTTCAAAGTGAAATCATATAACTTTTGTAGTATATTCTATATCCACTTCAGTATCCTGTCTCTACTTTGTACTTTCTCTGAAGTGTGGCAGACACCAACCACCACACCTACTGTCTCACTACGTGGCCCCACTCTATGAGCACCTTGAGAGAGTCAAGATTCTTTTGAGACAGTTGTACTTTGTATAATAGATTTTTTTAATATAACTTCTTTCCCATACTTCAATACAACGAGTCTCTGAAAGTTTTACTCCATATACAGCCCAGGTTTTTTAAGTAGGTTACTACCGATAGCTGCCAATATTGGATTAAAAAAACTTGGTTTTCAAAGTATAGTTTTCTCAAGTTTTTTTTATATTCGTCTTAATTGGTAATATGATTTTGCCTAAAAAAGTGTCTCAAAAATAAATTCAATGTGTCCAGAAAAAAAACCCTAATTTGTCTCAATCTCACATAAAAACACTGTAGAAACACCCTTTTATTTTATTTTTATTTTGAGCCAATAAACTTTGAAATCCTATTGGGGTTTAAAGATATGCTAGAAAAACCACAATACTTTTGTTAAACAAGCAATATTTATATTAAAGTATATATTAATATGTAATATAATTGTTTACTTTTTGATCTAGAAGTTGATGCTCTATGGAAGCCACAATTGCCAACCGTGAATAGTAGCTCGGACTTCTTCATCTCCAGGATCCTCAACAAACATAACATCCATTTTTTCTTTCATAAAATGATCTGCCTTGAATCCATATCCAATCAAGTCTCTATCCTCAGGATCAACATCTTCCAAAATCGGTTTTTGAGCAATCTCAAAGAACTGTAAATCACGGTGAGCCAGATGTGGTCTGTGGTGAGTGTAGAACACATAAACTCTTCCAGTCTTTGGCGTCAATAACTCCTTGCATGTTCTTAATAATGCGTGATGCTGAGAGTGGTTGAAGACAAGATCACTAAGAATAATAACGTCATATGTTGTCTGTTCACTTGGGAGATGACTCTTCAGCTTTGTCGTCGATGTACCCCAAATATAACCCTAATATTATAGTAATAGTATAAGTAGCCCACACGCAAAAGCGAGTTGTATCTTTACCTCTACTACAACATTTTTTGCAAGCTTTCCCAAATTGTGGTTCACGTTGTATTGTATGTTATCAATCAGTTCTGAGTCAGGATAATCTGTCACCACAACCTTTGCCGCTTGATTGATTGCTGCCATTAAACTAGGTAGGGCTCCACCAGCACCAAGCTCTAGTACATACTTGTTACGACACAAATCCTTGTGTTGATCAACAAAGGTAGCAAACACTTTGGAGGCATTCCACAAATGATGTGCCCAGAGAGGATGCGAGCCTACAAGGCGAATCGACAATGAAGAGATTTCATCTATAAAGCATGTTAAAATGAGTCTCTATTTTTATTGCATTTAATTTGATTTAAAGAGTACATATATATACCTTCGATGTAATTCTTATTGCGAGTGTAGACTTCAGAAGTGGGTTCTGGTTCTTTTATTTCTTGCTCCTCTTCCTGCAACGTAAAGAAGATTTTTTTTAAGAAAAAAGTATGTTATAAAGAAGAATTTATTGAAATAAACCCATTATGAATCAACATTATCTAAATTACCCCGAAAAGATCGCCTGCGAATCCTTCCTCTTCATCTGAATGGTGTGACATGCTTTAGTGTTGTAGTTGGCGAGTTCTTACAAAACGAATTATACATTAATGAGTGTGGCTTGGCAGTTGCAGTAGAGGAGTAATGCAACTGGAATTCAAATGAAGAATATTATAAAATAAAATAAAAAACCACTTTTACCTCTACTTGTGTTTAGCACCTTTGCTGTTACATGATAAAAGAAATCCTAGTTAACCCAAACTTGTTTTTTCTGCTTCAATAAATAAAATTCCCGGAGAATATGTAATCAGCTGCTTCATAGAGATTTTGCGATCAGATTAGTTATCGCTTAATTCTATTATAAGCTAGTAATTCGTTTTACTTTGTAAAAATAGTAATAGAAAATGGGCCTCACGAACGGATATGTTATTGTTACTAACCGTTATTAATGAATCTTATTTTCAAATAAACAGTACAGAAAGGTATCATTAGGCTATTAAGGAGCATATTAAACCTTTTGGCATTATTTTCTATATAATGTTTACTCTATTTTTTGTCTATATAAAAAAAATTCTGAAAAAAAGATTACACCAAAAATTCAGCTTATTTTTTAGAATCGTACGCCTTACAAATATGTTTTATTGAGAGGGTAATTAAATACGGTAATATTCATAATTATTCTATGATTTTTATGGTAGCGTTATATCTAATGTATTGATATTCGTAAACATTTTTAATAGTCTTAATACTTTTTTTTGCATTTGATATTTTCTTATCGACTTTTGAGTAAGTTCTCTGATTATATTGTGTTTGTGGTAACCGCACCACAGTAGAGCCAAGCACAAACTTGTCAGTCTAGACTAGGTTTATGTGTTAATTGATTTGACCGACAGGGTAGCACCTCAGGGGCCGTTACACATATATCAGGTACCCGTACATTTTACGCCATCACAGTAACAGCCAGTCATTATACACTCATTATTATCTATGCTGAATATACTGTTATGCTAAAGAATATCATTTCAACGGTTGAAGTCCCATACTTTTTCATTTGAGTCAAATATATCTTTTTTAACATATTTAGTTGCTGCTGGTGCCCTGTCATAAATAGGGTCACAGGTTTACAATTCATTACGCTCATGTACTATAAAAAATACTTAAATTGTGTATTTAACTTTACTTTACTTTACTTTACTTTACTTTACTTTAGTCTTATTTATATTATATTATATATTGTATTATATATATATATATTATTTTATTTTAAAGAATAAACTTTCTTTGTAATCTTTGTACCTATTCTCTTTTCTGGAAATGTCTTTAAAGTTAGAAAGTTTTCTTGAGCGAAAAGGATTCCTTGAGAAATTCGACAACTATTTGTTTGATTGTGATGGTAAATTCAACGTTTTGAATTGTGATTGTTTATTAACCCATTTATCATCAAGGTGTTCTCTGGGAAGGAGATCATGTCTTTCCAGGCATTATAGAAGCAATGCAGTTGCTCCGTAATGCAGGTAAATCTTTGCGCGATAAACTCTTTAACCAAAGAAAAAAAAAACAAGCAAGCAAAACAAAAAAAGAACATCAATAGTTAATAACAGCTTGTATCATGATAATGGCACACAGGCAAGAAGGTGTTTTTTGTGACAAACAACAGCACCAAGTCTAGAGAGGCATTTCTCCAAAAGTTCAAAAAGCTGGGTATTGAGGCAAACTTGGTAAATAATCTCAATAAACGTGCTTGAAGTTGAAACTAACATTTGTTGTATCAAGGATGAGATTTTTAGTTCCGCTGTTGCAACCGCAGCCTACCTCAAACACATCCTGCAGTTCCCTGCTGACAAGAAGGTGTACATCATTGGCATGTCTGGTATTCAGCACGAACTTGAGGCAATGGATATTCGCTGCTGTGGTGGCGAGGTAAGACACTAAGATTGTACTTTAGGTTAACTGACATATACTTACGTTGCGTGTATATAGGCAGACAACGGACCTTTTGATAACGAAATTGTGAAGAATGATCCTGAAGTAATATTAATTTATGCCTAGTAATCCAATTAATAAACATAATTCAAAATTAGGTTGGTGCTGTTGTGGTTGGCCTGGACACCCAAGTAAACTATAAAAAGTACAACAAGGCATTTACATACCTCCGCAACAATACCGGATGTTACTTTATCATGACAAACCAAGACTCTACATTTCCAGTTCACGGAACATTGCAGCCCGGTGAGCAGAAGCAGTAATAATTTATTTGTACCTAGCAATTTCTGACCTCACGAGTTTTTAAGGTGCTGGATCTATTGCTGCTCCTTTGATCACTGCTTTAAACAGACAGCCAGATGCAATCCTGGGAAAACCAGCACAAAACATGATGGACACCATATTCGCAGAGTAAGATACACATATACTTATATAAAAGACATTGGTTGTAATTCAAAGCTAATGTGGAATAACATTTTTCTTTAAAAAAAAGGTACAAGTTGGATCGTGAGAGAACCTGCATGATCGGAGATCGTTTAGATACAGATATCGATTTTGGATTAAAGGGTGGTGTTGAAACCTTGTGTGTCCTAACAGGTAAGATAGTCTGCAAATTTACAATACAAAGCATACTTATAACAATACATTTGTTTTTAGGTGTTACTTCTGAAGAAGAAATCCTGAGCAAAGAGAACAATATTGTGCCTACATATTATATCAGAGGATTTGCTGATTTCGTAGTAGAACCCTAAGAATATAGAATAAAGACATTCTCGGAAACTGAAAAAAAGAATAGTAAATGCAAACTATAGTTTGTATTTGAAGTACAGTGTAATCGTATTGCTGTAAACTTTCACTTTATACTCTCTACGCACTTCTGATTTTGATATTAAACGTGCTTTAAAAGGGGTATACCAATAGAGTTAAAAACAAATAAAGAAAAAGGAAAAACAAAGACTTTGTGCGTTTTAGCATGAATAATGTTTTACATATCGAATTTATATTTATCACTGTTTGATCATGCACATGTTGTTTAAAGATATATATATTACATCAATACCATTGGATTAACCGATTACTTTATATTATCGGTATATTTTAGACTTGTACGGCCAACTACATCACCATATTAGATAACATTACTATACATTCAATAAGAACGGTAATGAAATCCGAAAACAAAAAGATCAATACTGAAATGTTTAAAAGTAAACATTTATACTTCTTCTTCTTCTTATTCTTCTTTAGAACAGGGTTGGTTTCAAGTTGAAAGAAAAAACATAGTATTAAAATGACTCTTATATATAAGTTTTTCATTTTTGAATAGACTGGCCAATGTCTTGTATTTATATGTCTTTTTTTCCCTTTCTCATTATTATTATAATTGCTCTTCCTATTAATATTCTTGTCTATATTTCCTCTTGCTATGAGAAAAAAGCACACAATTCAAACTTAAATATACATGCTTTCTTTCTTTTTCTTTTGTTGAGGACAGTTTGTGGTGGTAGTTGTGGGGGTTCTCTTCATGATAAAAATATATACAATTTATAGCGATCCAGTCACCGTCAAGATATCGTTGGCCTCGATAATTCTATACACAAATAAAATTAGTGAAGAACTCCTTTTGACTTTCATTACGTATATCTTGATACATACTCATCAACAGTAAAGTCCAGTGTACCATCTTCACCGCCAATGGCCGTTCCTGTGGTTTTATTGACCCATTCTCCATATTGACTTCGTTTCCGCTCTTCCTTTACTTCCTCTTCAGCAGAGTCGGATTCTACCTCCTCTTCGTCTGATACACGCCACTCATAACGATCTGCCGGTATGCGTGATTTAGGAATTGATGCGTTAAAGGTGCCATAAATCAAAAGACCAATATGATCCTGTGATTGCAGGTTGATGCGACCCACTAAACGAACAAATAAACAAACAGATCTCATTTAATTAAATCATCATCATATATCTCCTCCTTTTCTATTCTTTAGCAAACAAACAAATATAAATATATATACCAAGCTGGGATCCTTTCTTTGGCTTCCATACGAGAAATTTAACATGAATAAAGAAATGACAGAAAGGAGAGTCTTGAACGATAGTTCCTTTATTGGATGGGAGTTGAACGTTGCTATGGGCAAGAATAATACCGTCCACTTCAGGCACATACCTATTACCATAGGTTAAAATATCGTTTCTCTACACACTAACGTGCTGAAAACCCACTTCATTAAAAATGCATTAAGCTGTTCGTTGATGCCGTCCATGATCTTTCCTGCCCACATGGGTGCCAAGTGAAGGTAAAGCTTAACAACCATTTCAGAGAATGATGATGAAGGAGTAGTCGAGACAGGAGCAGCAGGCTGCACTTCAACAATGGTTGCTGTTTTCTGCTTCTTTGACTTGCCCTTCTTCTCGGACTTTTCGCTCTTATGCTTGCGTTTTTTCTCTTCAATTGGCATTCTGGTTGTGTAAAGGTATTCTAAAAAAAAAGAATATATGTCGGCTACCAATTTTTTTTCAACATAGGACATTCGTTGGGACTATTTTCTTGAGTGGCTTTTGTCAAAGAAATGCGGAGATCGTATTATCTAAAAGGAGTATATCCTTGACAGCATTATATTCATTACAGTAACATCTAGTCATATACATTATACTTCTTAGATTACCAAGTTTAAAGAGAGTCTGACTCCAAGTAGAGCTACGGCTATTTAACTTATTAAGGCCAAGCAAATAATTGACACATAAATTGAGTGCTTTTAAAGGGAATTTGACAATAAAGTTTCTACACTTCAAATTAAAAAATCGTTAATTTTTTTCTGAACGAAATGAGGAACAAATTTCAGATGAAGAGAGATAAATATTGAGATATTTGTAGCATCTTCTGACAAGTTTTGGATATACTACCTGTAAGAAATCTAAAGACCTACAGAAAAACAGACCGTGCCTGGTACAGAAACGCATATTTTAGTTATGTAGATGAATCAGTTGGTATGTTGTTCGTTTTCCCAACAGAGCTTACTGCAACCAGCATGTTTCTCGTAGTATTGTCATTTCTTTGGCAGATTTCTACGCATATTGTACAAACAAGCAAAAACTTTGCTCTTTAGTACAAACATGTCATAATGTTCTGGAGATATCGGACTACTTGCTTTTTTTTTAAAAGAAATGGAAGATACACAAGTATATCAACGCATTTGTTATGTGCTTTTAGTTTCACCAAGCCTTTGCAAAATATATCGGTACCATTCTTTTATGAAAGCTTAATTCAATAAGCTCATTGTATAATAAGTAATGATTCAGACATTACAGTTTATCCATTTGTAGAGAAACATGCTAAGAACCATTTTCTTCTTCTTTTCTTGGTATAAAACGAGTGGTATTAATCACTGATAAATTAGTAACTATCAAATTATCTGAAGTCTTGTCAAAATAAACCCTCATTTCTTTATTATTCGATTCTAAGTTACTTTATTCTAATTTTCTATTCTTTATCTTGTATTTGGATATATTTACTATGAATGACCTTAAACATCTGGAACTACCGAATTTCCCCAATTTTTTTTTGTATTATTAGGTTTAATTGTTTAGTAAAAAAATTATGGATTATTTAATTTCTGTAAAAGAATAGATACAAATATCTCATGGAATTTTGGCACATTGGAAAAACCTAAAATTTCACAATGCCAGTCAGTACCGTAAAAAGGATTGAATAAATACTTACTTGGAAAGTAATTGACATCTACAAGATAGTGATTATTAGTCTTTGCCTCCAAAATAACGTCAAATCCAAAAAATGTCAATCCCTATTCACAAATTAGATATTAGAAAAAGTTTTATCTTTACTATTGTATTAGTTATCAAGCAAGACTTACTATTTGATGGCGAAGAACATCAGCAATTTTTTCTAGCCTATCGTAATCCAGTGTTTCATATATTCGTTTTTCTACATCTTCGTTTGATATAGACATCACTTTATCCAACCCATTCAAGAGTTTACTAGAACTGTGGAATGACTTTGGAAGTATTTGGCTATCAAAATGAAAGACGTCTTTACAAAAAATATTAGCTAGTAATCATACAAGATGATTGAGCTATTTAAAATTACCACAATTCTGATTTAAATCCTTGAATGATGGTCGTAAAGCAGGATATACATGTTTATCCAGGACATAAACCTTGATCAATATTCCACCATGCTGAATGAATTCTTGTAGAATAACCTGTTCATTCTTGCCATAGCCAGTAACTTTACTCATGGCGTTTAGTGTTGGAATGATTGTCATTTGATGAGATGATACAGACGCACAAGCCTTGGACCTTTTACAAATGATCTACGTTTATATTTTACTATATAATTAATAAATCAAATGCTAATATTTTCTTTGTTTTATATTTCTTGGCCAGATGTTACTCACAGGAAATTTCATATTTAGTGCTTCTGACCGCATATCAAATGATTCCAAAGAAATAGACTTTGGTACACTAAATAATTGTCCTAATAGAGAAAATAATAAAATATTGATATATATAAAGCTTTGTATAAATACTTTATAAGTACCTTTGTTCTGAGGGGGTTTGAATTCTATAGATTTTTCCAGCAGCCAGTGTAGCTTTGATCGATTAATAACCTTTTCAACATTCTCCCATGTGTCCATTATGATCACTTTAGGATGAGATTCACAAAATCTCTTTATAAACATTTTTTTATATTTATAAAATATTATATTTAATAGTTGAATATAAGTGATGCCCGGTTTATTCCTACCAAGAAATTATCAAACTGTGCAGCGGAAATCTCATCCCCACGATGCATCTTTCCCACAACGTCTGTTATTTTGTGGACAATGAGGTCGAAATGACCTTGGTTAGCGATTGGCTCATTCAAGTCAAGAAATACGATCTTGATCCCAAGTTGACTGTAAATGAACAATAGTATGAATACATGTTAAGCACCTTGAAATTGCAGTACTTTTTTTTATTTGATTGTTGGTCGATTGGATTCATACATTGCGTACTCCGGAAGACCATAAAAGCCTGACCGTTCAAGCTTCTCTTTTCTAAATATGAGGCCAACAGTCTTTTTTATATGTGTATTGTCCATTTGAAATATAAGAATAGAAATAAGAGTAAAATAAGTATGGTATTTAGATGATCTTCTTTTTAATATATATAAACAAAAATAAGAAAAAAGTGGATAAATGCTGATGTTTGATGTTACAAATTACCTGCTATCATCACACTCGCACTCAGTGGCTGAGATTGGGGAAAATATAATGTAATTTGATATGATATTATGGGAGTTGAGGTGAGGTGAGTCAGTGATAAATCTAATAGGAAGCTAAGGTGTAGTGCTAATCCTAGATTGGTATGCTCTAATCTAGCTGTACTAAAATGGCTATTACGTTCAAGCTTTATATCATTCTAGAAACCAACAAAAGGTTTAAAATTACAAGATGTGTTGGATTAACAGAAAATTTATTGTCCTCTGTAGGATCGGCTGATGGGTGGGTTCTGGCACTGAATATAAAACTTACAAAATCTGGTATGTATATGTATATGTTAAGAGGGGGTAGATATGAAAAATAGCACCCAAGGTGTAGCAAAGAAGTATTAAAGTTTTTCAGGCTTATTTTTCTTTCTAGATTATAAAACATCTTCGTTTCAAAGTTATTCACCAGCATCTTACCGCATTAGAAAAGCTAGGCGTATAGAAATAGTGTACATTAATCATTGTTCCTTCTTTATTTGAAATTGATCGTTAAATTACCAGATCCAAAATATTTTGGTTATAAAAATTAATTTAAAAATGACTAATATACTGATGAGTTATGCCAGTACAAGTATCAAGTTAATCGATGAAACTACAAACGCGGTATATCATTTTATATTGACATGGACCATTACCTTTATCATTATCTCTATATTTACATATATTGTAATTAATTATAATACACATAACCAATATACTATTGTTATCATTATTATGATCATCACCACTTAAAGCAGGATTGATCTCTTGCTATAAGGCTTAGAATGGTATATTTAAATACTTGGTGTTTTTATTTATTTGTTAGTATTGTTATTGAGGTCCTTCTCCTTCTCTCCCTTTCTACTCTCCCCCTTTCCACCTTTAGCTTTTAGTTTGTCTATCAATGCCTTTTTGATTGGTGGAATATTTTCTTTCGAAATTCGGTAACCTTTTTACTCTGAAAAAATAAAAAAATAAATAAAAATAAAATAAAAAAAAACGTTTTTTCTTCTTCTTCTTTTTCATCTTAGTTCGCTTGCAACCTTCTTTATTCCTAAGAGAGCATGTCAAATCTCGCTTGGGAAGTATATTCAGACTTAACTACCACGCATGGAAAAGATATTATGCCAAATAATAATGGTCATTGTTCTCAAGGAACATTGCTTCGAAAGCCAAATCGTACACCATCATTCGCTTCTAATGATGAGCCGACAACACCTAAAGAGCATGAAGAAACTCATGAACCAGATCAAGACACAAACACACACAACTACTCCAGCAAGAAAAGAATATACCTCGAAACATGTCATTTTGTGAATGATGTTGAACACGATTCAGAAGATTCCTCAAGTCAAACATCATATTCACCTTTTTCCGATTCCCTTTTTATACCACATTCATCAATGCCTTGCAAGCGTACAAAACGACATTCATCTTGTCGCCAAACAGTACAGCCCCGCTGGCATAACCAATCTTACATGCTTTTTTTAGCACTCCGGCAACATCCCGACAACAGTCTTCCAAGGACAGACCTGATCAAGGCTGCCCTGGCCTTGGATAAGAAGATGAGCGAGGAACGGGACCTCCCGAGAGTCTTTCGAGGCAAGGTAGTGTACGAATAGACATAAAAAAAGAAAGGACTGACGCCTGCATAGACACCCATGAACTCTGCTTCTGCAATTCTCACCAACAATAGTGACGGTTACTTTATACCCTTCAAACCCCATGGCAGTCGATCAATGCACTTTAAGCTTGCTGAAACTCCCAAAAAATTTGAAAAAGCTTGTCTGGAATACAGACAATGGGAAGAGCACCTCGAAAGAGAAAAGTGGCCCGATTACTTTGGCTATGAAGAAAAAATAGAGCCGCTTGTACACGAGGAAGAAATAACAGAATTTGACGAATTTATTGCAAGTCGTTTACGCGCCAGACAAGCAAATCTTCATCCTTCAAACGGCAGAATCCTCGAGGATGAAAGCGTGAAAGACAAGGAAAAAGAATTGGAGATAACACATGTGTCATATGAGCAGAGACACACAGAACATCTTCATAATATTGGAAATATGCCTACTTCGTGGAAGGATTTGGTACGAGTAGATAAAGGAAAGGGTGTGTTTGCAGTAAGACCTCTACCTCAAAAAATCCCTCTTGGATTCTACTTTGGTGCACCTATGCCCGAGGATAAGTTTGAGTCCCTAAAAGAAAGTGTCGGAAGTGCAGATACCTAAGGTGCTCTCGGAATGTTACTACGAAGTAAAAAACTCATATCGATAGCAGAAAATATCCCTAATATGAACGTAGTGCAAAATTTCATATATGGGTATTGTGTACATAATTATAAATCTGTGTCGTAGAAAATACTATACTCCAAAGATAAAACCTTGCTTGAAAGTATGGCAAATAAAAAGCTATTTATTTTGCATCTACTGTTAATTAAGTACAAATAAATTACTATTATCAACCACAAGAGTTCTAAAATTTCCACTTTGTTTTAACCAAGGGTTTCAATTTTTGCGTAGACCATTTTCGTTTTTTGCTTTAATACAAAAACTGCATATGAATAGAATATTCAAGTAAGCTTAGACAAACGGGATTTTCTTTTCATAGTATAATTATTTATTCTCGATGGAGTCCCGTTGGGGATGCCGGTCTGCCTCGTATTACTATTAAAAAAAGGTTTTATCAACTGTGCCATGTTTTATTCTACTTTGAATAAAAAGGGCACCAGTTTATAGAGCAAACAAAAGAGCAGAAAATTGCACAGGGCAATAAAATAAAACTATTCTCACAGGAAGTGCTGATAGTAATAAAAAATACTTCTATATTTGGGCATTAGAAATATTTTATACCTGCTCTCTAGCAGGGGATAGACTCATGGACTTTAAAGTGAAACGTCCTTTTTTGATTTTGGAAATCACTATATATGGTGTTTAGTGTCTATATCAATACACAATTCTATATAACAAAGGACTCCGAGAGCACTTATGAACACTAGTTAGGTAATGTTGAGGTCATTGGATATATGTATGGCAGCCACTGCCTTAGCTGCGACTACATCGGGGAGGAAGGGAGAATTGTCAAAGACAAAGGCCCAGTGCACGCGCCAGATAGTGTGAGTCGTGATAGACGCAATCGCAATCTGAAGAGAAGAGGGAACGGGATGAGAAAGCCGAGTACGAGTGATAAGCCAGACTAAATCAGAAATAGGCTACGGATGGCACAGTTGCTGCAGTAACAACGTACACACAGGAAACTTTCAAGGGTAGGAGAAGACACAATGTTGGAAAAAGTCCACTGCAGAGAGACAGAGGGGACAGTTCAGACTGGGAAGGAAAGAGGAGAAGGCAAAACTAGTTGTGAACCGCCGGTGCAAAAAACTGTCTCTTTTTTAACCCAAAAAATGAACACAACATGCGAGCAAGCTATTTGCATATTCTTCTCTAAAGAATATAATGAAGAAAATTTAGCAAGGCTCTCGAAAAAAATTGCTGATTTTGGCTCCTTTAATGTATACTATGAGACTGATCCTAGAAAACCAGTTCTACTGTCGCTTGCTAGAATACATTCAAAGCCTTTTATTTTCAAGGTATATGTCTTCATCCAGCCAAGCAATGTGTAATGAATGTAATTCAAACGGATGTAACTTCGTTAAATAATAGCTTTATTGCTTATGTATTTAGAATTCTTTATGGATAGCTGAACCTTTTTTGGCCCAAATTTTGGAAAATTCTTACAATAAAATGGCTTATTGGAATTGATTAAAAATATAAAAAATAAAGAGATATATAATAAAATAAAGAAAAAACGCATTTAAACTATCTTGAATCTCTGTATAGACTTTGACCTAAAATTGAAGGGGTATAATCCTGAAGGGTCGTTCAAAATCTCTTCTCGTTGAAAAACATGAACTTTATGACTAAAAGGTAAGTTATAAATTTTTATCGTTTTCAGTTTTTCATGCTAGCTAATGAGAAGCACATTGTAAGTATTATTGAAGAAATTTTACTTCTACATGCTGTAAATTACCTGACAAAGGAGTGCAAATCATTGAAATCGGTTGATGGTCCTGCAAAATCTAGAGCTACGATGCAAATATTCTGTTCTGTTGCACTGATATAAGAAATCATACTTGAAAAATGGTTTAATATCAGAATGGGTATGGTACCTATATATATATATATATTTATAAGTATACTATACCTTGTGTGTTTCCATCGACCCTCATTAATTCGGCTAGTAAATTAGGTCTCTCATTTATGTCTCTTGAAGCAAGACTATTTGATGCCAAACAAGAGGATTAAACAAAGATTTTATCGCAGATTGACCTTTCCGTTGAACAACGCACCATACAGTTCAGCAGGTCTATTCTTTTTTGCTTGTATTTATAATCTGGGGATTCCCTTGCATACCCAATAGTAATATAACTTTGACTTTTCAAGAAATTTATGTAAGTTTGGTATTCCGGCACATACTTTGCTATGCTTTATACTACACTCTCTAAGAAAAATGAAGCAAATATAGCAAGCATTTTTGCAATAATTACTAATAACCTGGTACCTATGTATTCATGTTTCAATACGTATAATTCTCTATAGCGGCTGTTTGAGCCTCTTTCCATTTTTCTGATGTCTAGTGAATTCATAAAATGGATGCCTTTGAACACCAAGTCGCAAAGGCTGCTTCCGATTTTTTACACATGCTGTCAGTTGTTGTTATAACCAACTCGTAAATGACATTAGTAGTAAATCTTTTGAGATAGTAAGCACTTTCATTTGGTGTGTAAACAATGGTAGCGTGCACTTCGTTTAAAAATGGAATAACTTGCAATTCTGAAGCTGTATTTATAGGCATTCTGATGTTAAAACAGTATGTAGAATAAAATGCATAGCATATACAGCACTTACTAAGTGCAAAACCTTTTTTTTTCTGGTTAATCATAGTTTGAATTTGGCTGTTTAATTGTATACTGTTTGAAAGAAAATGGATCGCTCCGAATTCGCGTCAAATAATTACATTGGTTTTCTAGGATCGACCTCATAGCATATATCAAAGGAGCCAAAATCAGCAATCTTTTTCAAAAGTCTTGCAACATTTTCTTCATCATATTCTTTAGAGAAGAGTATATAAATAGCTTGCTCGCGTGTTATGTTCATTTTTTGGGTTAAAAAAGAGACAGTTTTTTGCACCGGCGGTTCACAACTGGTTTAGTCTTGAAAATTGTTAGTTTGGTATAACAAAGTATTCTATGTACATTTACTACTTATTTCCATTTAAACATATACACACTTTTTTGGTATTAAAATAAATAAATCAAGAAAACTCACATATTTTATAAGCAGCATCAAAGCCAAATAATAAAATCACCAAAGTAATAATAATACTAATAATAACTAAATAAGTAAAAAATTAAAAGTAAAGTTTAAAAACAAGCAACAGAAAACATATAATTAAACTCCAATCTGTATCTCAACCTTACAATCTTATTAATCTTAATTTCGGTTTATAATGTGGAATGCCTATTATGCAGAGAGATTAGCTGCACGAAAACGTAGTGTCATGTAAGTGATCTACAGGAATAATTATGCGAAGCAAATCTTTTTCTTTTTCTAATAAAACATTACATGATCACAGAACCCGATCTACGTACAAACTCTCACCATTTGTAGTTGTACCTCCAGAGGAATACAGTAAGACACGAATTGTCCTGCTCATGTCTGTGGACTCAACCAGTCAATCCAGCTAGAAAACTTCGCTCAAATCGCTCTCCCTTCAATAATGCACCACCCTCTCCTTCATGGGATGAGTTGGCAAGATCATCAGACGAGGCATCCTTAAAATCACCAACAGTCACAAGCCCTACAAGATCATTACTCATCAGCAGAGAAATCCAGGATAGTATCCCATCATTTAGTGTACGCCTCCCTTCTTTTCGTGAAGGGTCAAGCCTCGAATCGACTGGCAATATCCTTGAAAAAAGTTATTCCAAAAGAAGATTGGCAGATTCACCTAACGATCATGATAAAAGCAAGCGATTTCGTGATGAAGATTCATACTTATCCCAAAGTCAAGTTCTCACCAGTCGTGTATACTCGGTACACAACCAAACGATAGAACAAGAAAATGAAAGTATCCGCGTACAAGAGTCAAGCAATCCACCAGAATTTATCGGCGTATCAGAAGTGGAGATGAGAGAATTAGCCCAAATGTCAATTAAAGATATGTTTGGAAATACATCTGTTCAAGAACAAAATAAATCTTATGATCAGGGTACTGAAATACAAAATGAAGACATCATAAACATCACATCAGAGCATATAAAACCATCAAAATCCCAATTATTGCACGGATCGTTGCCTGAACAGTTGCCTCAACTTCAACCTCAATTAAACCTTGAATCTCAATCTCAATCCCAAACGCAAATTGAATCAGAATTAAACAGAGAAAAAGAACATAATGAAGTCACCCCTCATGAGCAGCAATCAACTGAAATACAAGAAGACTTTGAACAGGACATGTGGTCTATTCCGCAGCTGGACTATGGATCTCCCGAACCAATGAATATTGAAACAGACCAATTGGAAGGTGCAAATATAGAATTAACTAATGAAGCACGCCCCGAAGAAGAACCAGTTGTAATAGACCATACCTCACCAGAAGGAGAGAAGTCGAATATTAATAATGAAACTCAACACCCGCAAGCAGGTGAACCGGAAGTGGATATGGATTTAGATATAGATTTCCAAACTGATGGAATACCAGAGCAGCCACTACCAGATCAGTCAGAAGTTCGAGAGCAGGTCACAACAGAGGTACCCCAAAAGCGTGGCAGAGGAAGACCACCCCTAGTACCGATGGATGATATACTTGGGAATGAGCTAGCTTCATCTGGATCTATAGGTGCACCCCCTGAATTAGATCTCGACACTTTTATTAAAAAACATACCGATCTATTGGAAGCAGCAGCGGAAGAGAGAGAAAACAAAGAACAGGCAGTGGATGAGATTAGACACATCTCAGGTCCTGTATTTGATGAAGTATCGATGTTTTTGTAAGTGTGTATAATTTTTTTCTTTCTTTTCATATTTGATTTTATTAATAGCCTTCTATATAGTAAAAACATTACCAATACACAGAGACGAGATTTGGTATCTCGATTCGGATCAATTATTGTGGATGAGCTTGAAGCACTGGTAAAGCAATATTTTACTCTAAAACTAGACAAACAGAAATGACATTAATTATCTATTGTCCAACCATATTTGTAGACTACACTTTATACCGAATATTTGAAGGCAGAATGGATGTTGCGACGGGAGAAGTACTTACTCAGAAGACTTCGTACAAAATTATTAGATATTAGGATGAAGCAAAGTGGGTGTAAAAATGAACAAGCAGTGCTCAAAAGACATCTGGAGGAAAATGATTCAAAACGAGTAGTAAGTACACCTGGACAAAATAACAACAGTAATATTAATGTTATTTGTTAGACTCTTTCTGGATTAGGCCATTTCTTTGACCACATTAAATCAATACGGGCTCAAGTGGTAGAATCGGATGAGCCGATTGAAGAACAGCACTGGTCGGCTTAAAAACCAAATTTGTATAATACTGTTTGTTAATATGTGTGCGTATTTGTGCGTATGTGGTTTTGGAGAAGTTGAAGCCAATTGTTTATTTCTTCGCATTTTTCAAGGTGCCTTCATAATTATTTGCTTTCCAATCAATGTTTACTTAATATATATAAATAAAATATAAGTTGTTAAATTAACCTTATGAGGCGTTTACTTATTTGTGATAGACCGATAAATACTGGTTGTGTGCCCAAAACTTCCTTTATCATTTTTATTAATGTGTAGCAGTCTGTTGCGGAACTGTCTCTGATGTTAGTATTGACACGTAAAGTATTTGTAAGAGGCAATACAATTAGTTACAATACTATCGTGAGGGAAGGGTTCAGAGCTGCATAGTCTTCATTACTAGACTATCAGCTATTGTAGGGCTTCTATTCTTAATATAGGCGTAGTAACAAAAGAAAATAAACTATCTTAAAGGTATACGTTCTCAAGTTACAGTAATAGATGTACACTTCAACAGTTAGTATGAGTCAAATAGCATTTTATTGACTAGACACATAGGGATAAGAACCAGCTGTCAAAATTATAGAATAGGAAAAAATGGCTTTAACGAGGTAAAAGGGAATATCTTATTCTATAGTGCTAAACTTTCTCTAATATTGCCTTACATACTTCTTCCTCTTGCTCTTTACGTTTACCCTTCGCTCCCCTTCTTTCTCTAATTTAGAATTCCGAGGGAAGGCAGCCATCAATCACCTCGCCTACCGTCTCAAAACATCGGTGAAAATAATGTATTTATGTAATGTTTAAAAAGAAAGCTTTGCGCCCACCCATTTTTTTTTAGAATAACTTCAATCCTTGTTGAATACAAGTCGAATATTTCTATTAATTTGCTTGTTTCTGTTTGCGATTACAAAGGATATCAAGAAAGCTAAATTCTTTAATACTTTGCCCAATTCTTTGCTTAATATTACTGGAATTGTTGAATTATTGTCTTCAACAGGTCTTCAATACAATAAAATATTTTCTCAATGCTTTCACTTTGTTTACATCCATGCTTCAAAGATGTGATAATATTCAAATTCCAACTTGCCACGGTTCTATTGTCCCACACTTGAGCTGCGATGTGCTTGAAAAGCTTTGAAGTGGCCACAGCACTGAAATCTCTGTCTTGATTATGGGAGCAATATAAAATTGTTCATATTGTCCAAAACCTCGTTCGAGCATCATTAGTAAATTTGGACGAAGATAGGTAACAAAGGTAGGTAGACAATTGATCGAGCTTGGATCTTGGTTTAAGTAACTGAGGATGTTCATCGAATGGATATAATAAGTGTTTATTAGAAATCTAATTCCATCAAATTGTATATTAGCTTACATCATTATTTCACTTTCTTCAAGTTTGCGTTTTTCAATAGAAAATCGCTGTGCTCTTACTTGGTATGAACCAATTTGAGCAAGAAACACTGACAATTGGTAATTGATTGATTTACAGGCGTGTTGATGAAGTAAACAAAACGTTCATGGTTTTGGTTCTCAACACTAAATTTTTGGCATTATTATTCTCAATTAAGTATATTTCTATATCTTGGTGTCTTGTATCAGTGTAAGATAAGGAGGTTTGGGGATGTTTCTTTTTGCCGACGATGTTTTTTCTTATAGTGCGCAACCAGTGATGGGATTCTTGAATATATCTCCCCACCAAGAATAAGTAACGACTTGCTTCCCTCCACAAAAACAACCTCTTCTAAAAAATAGACGCATATTTTAGTTGCCATTAAATTTAATGTCTCGCTACTTTTTAGCCAAAGTGAAGCCTGATGGTCCAACTCGATATTTCCCTCGTATATCTCATTCAGATCGACGGCTATTCTTTCCACAAAGATTTTACTGGTTCTTCCCGACATCACCTTCTCACACCTCTGTGCTCTAGACTTCATGCCAACATTTACTTCCCTCCCAAGTTTCCAGTATAAAAGTCGGCATTGTCACAACTGTGTCAGTCCTGGTCTATTCCTGATGTTGCTTGGCTTCTCGTCCGCACCAGGCTTTATTCTTCTATATCCTCCTATCTCCAGATTGCGATTGCGTCAATCACGGCTCACACCTATCTTGCACGCACACTGGAGACTTGTCTTCGCCAATTACCTTCTCTCCCTTCTCAATGTAGTTGCTGCTAAGGCAGTGACTGCCATACGCAGATTACATAACCTCAACACCACCTAGTTAGCGTTCGTATCCCTCTTCATCACTGCAGTATTATCTTTTCTTAAAGTCCAACTTCAAAGGCCGCTACCGTGTGCGTCCGATAAGTTTATATTCATCCCACCTTCAGGGACACCAAAATATAGAAATATGGTCCGATCGCATGTGACGATACTGTAAATTGTTAAGTGACTGCATTGTAACCGGGAAAATACTAAAAGAAGTTCGTGGATTGAAAAATATACTTCTTTCTCTTAGCATCTTCATTTTCATAATAACAAAAAGGTAACATTTTCTCATCCATACCATCCATCCATCCATCCGTTTGTCTTCTATTGTATCCTCGGATCTATGGCAAGATTAATCGGATTGGCTTACGCATATGGGACTCGAATGCCCTTCCACTCTACCATTTGCAAAGCCGGGAACCTCTTATTAAAGAAGTCCTTGGCCACTTGCTCGTGATGTAGCAGCAATATGCTTTTATGAATCGCCCATCTTTACTGATGGCGACACTCATTCGAGCATGCTGACTAACCAAGGTATGTTGGTTAAATGTGTTAGATCACCATGGTCCGTGTCTCTATCTTGAACGACTGCTTGAACAACATCAACAACGCCGAGAGCCGCGGAAAGAGACAGGTGCTTATCCGCCCTTCCTCCAAGGTTATTGTCAAGTTCCTGTCTGTTATGCAGAAGCACGGTAAGATTTTATACGGATCATATATTTTGATTATTTTCCGCAGTATAACTGGTTTGAAGTTGCTTTTTCCCACTTCTTTTGACTTTTAAATCTGCGGTATATTAACACCTGTGTTGTCCATTACAAGAACATAGCTTATATTTAAGCTATGGTCTGCTTTGGATAATGAGGGACATTTTGTTTTATAAATATTTTTCATATTATCTTTACATCGAAGATTTTTTTATGATATTTAACTAAACATAACTACTCAATAGGTTACATTGGTGAATTCGAAGAAATCGATGACCATCGTTCAGGAAAGATTGTTATCCAGCTTAACGGTCGTTTGAACAAGTGTGGTGTCATCTCCCCCCGTTTCAACGTCAAGCTCACCGAGCTCGAGAAGTGGACTGCCAACCTCTTGCCTTCGCGTCAGTTCGGCTACCTAGTCCTTACCACATCTGCTGGTATTATGGACCACGAGGAAGCTCGTCGCAAGCATGCTGGTGGTAAGATCCTTGGCTTCTTCTATTAAGGAAAAGCCCTTAGTCCATTATATCAATAAAAATTTCAAAAGAAAGAACTTGTGATCATGGTGAACCAAAGAAAGTTATATAGTGTATATTTGTTTTATTTTGTTGTTGTTTTAAGAGATGTCAATTTCCTCTGTTTCATTTTTGACTTGTCGGTTGAGGATGTAAAATCCGATTAAAATAAGAATACTGCCAACTAAAGTTGATCCTGGTACCATAACGCCAGTGACTAGTACGTCAGTAACCGCAACAGCAGGTACTGTAAGCATCACTCCCACGGCCGCAAACACAGGATTCACAAGTGCGATCACGCACATGAATGTAGCGTTGTACACAACGCTCATTGACGCAATTCCCAGGATATATACAAATGTCTCTAGGTCAGGCAATTCAAAGGTTTCGTAACCAGAGAAGTGGAGGACTGGCAAAGGAATCCATAATATTAATAAAGTGATTATTCCAATGGCACCAGTGACAGTATTGGCAAAAAGAACGGAAGCTTGTGACGGAGAAGCATACTTTTTGTAATATACTTCATAGAAACCATAAAGGGCTGCCCCCAAGACTGCAACCGAAATGCCGAGAGTCTGGCTTTGTGCAGGTTGATCGCCGGGTGTCCAGAAAGCCATGAGAAAAACACCGATCATGCATAGCAAAATAGCAGCAATCTTGGTAGCCATAAGACGGTCATGAAGCAGCCAGACTGAAAAGACGTAGGCGAAGAAACAGCCGGTGTTGTATATCGCTGTAAGGTTTGACATGCTCGTCAAGTTGACACTTACATACCACAAGTAAGCAGGTAGTGTCAAAAGTATCGCGAGCCAGAGACCCGTTGAGATGATAAAACGTATACTAAGTCTGTTTGTGGTGTTTTCGCCCTTGACTCGACCCTGAAGTTCAAGAAGAGATTGAGCTAGTTCATTTTTACAATGTCCAGCTGTCTCTATGACATGGCCCAATGCAGCAGAGGGCTTAGTTGGCCAGCCTCTTCCTATACACTCTGCCAGAAATTGAATTGGTATCATAAATATGTAGCATGAGTGACTAACATAACTAAACAAGTGTGTCAGCATATATCGTTGGCATGTGCGCAATAATCCCCCTTACAGAATAAAATATGGTTTCTGGTAGTCTGTAGTTTGCTGAACATACTGGGCCAGCTCAGTCTGAAGAACAAAGGAAACTATACAAATAGTCAACATGACTGTTGCAATCACTGAACGTGATTTGGTCTTAAATGACGCTGGACTTTCTGATCTGTCATTAATGGGGACAGCATGGTAAGAGGTCATGATCAAGAATAAAGGGCAGGTAAAAAAGAAAAAGAAAGATGAAAACGAGATCTTAATCCATTGAACTGAGATTGATTTTTCTTTTATTCTGAAAAAAAAATAAGGCTTGATTTGAACCAGGTTATGTTGTACTTGGTCTCTTTGGCTTCTTTTGATCAACCAGGGGAAGGTCTGTTAGAAGCCTTTGATTATATATTCATAAAGCTGGTTAATATCGAAACATATATATTAAATTATCATTGGCTCACCGCATCATTTTCAAACGTGTTTTTGCTGGGCTCTGTATTTAATATGTATATGTATGTACATATAATAAGAAACAGACTCGCCTTGGTTTATAGTAAAACGAAGAAGAAGACGAAATACCTCATTATCTCTCATTGCATGTAAAGATAGTATAGAATAGTTTTGTAGTGCATTTGCTGCTGTCTGTCTCCTGAGTTTAGTTTCATTATCATTGCGTCGCTGATGGACAGTTAGTTCTGGAGATGCCATGAGGAAAGAGATGAATTATGTGTGACTGGAATTATCCTTTGCTCTTTGACAATCTTTATTTTATATGAATATTGGTTATTTATTTAATTATTTATTTTCGGTATTATGGGTATTTCGCCCTCACTTGTAAGATCATTTGTCAAAGGCACAAAGCGCCTGCAATATATCTATAGATCCCCTGGACCTCACGAGCCTACCATATGTTATATACCTGGATTCCAATCGCAATGTATGGAATCCAACAAATGCCATCATGTGTATGATCTTGCAGTTTCAGAGAATGCCGGCTTTTTTGGCTGGGACCACGCTAATGGAGGTTCAGTATTGGAGTGGTGGAGCGATGGAAATGAATTGTTGGAAAAATATACAAAGGGACCTCTTGTATTGGTGGGACCAAGTATGGGTACTTGGATTGCACTTCTTTTGGCAGGGCGTTCACCAGTAAAAGAACGTATACAATCAATTGTGGGCGTGGGTGGTGGAGTAGACTTTACAGAGAGATGGCTTCAGGAAGTTCCTGTTGAGCACCGAGAAGATCCGAAATATATATGGAAAAGACCATCCAGTTATGCAGAATGTGGATACTATGCCATTCCGGTACATACTTTGTTGGACTCGCGAGCATGTTTGGTCATGGGGAGCCCTTTGGATATTAGAGTCCCTGTGTATTTGATTCACGGTCAAGCAGATAGTGATGTTCCACCGCAGAACGCAATACTATTAAAACAGTATCTAGAGGAACATTCTATTGAGAAAGTATACTTGAAATTGATCGAAGACGGAGACCATCGCCTGTCACGACCACAAGATATGGATGTTATTAGCAGTATCATATTATGTATATTAAAATAAATATACTGTGGTCTCAAACAATTCAATTTTCTTACAAAATAGGCTATTTTTTTTTATATAATTCATAAAAAAAAATTGTCTAGTCAGACCATTCTTTTCCTTTTTCAAATCTCGTTCAAATCGTGTTGGAATACCAAGCTTATTGCAGTATTACCGCTCACCAAAAAAAAAAAAGAAGCAATAAGACTTGAAACATGGGCCTAAAATACAGAGAATACCTAGAAGGCAGAAGAATCTATGGTTGCTCAAAGTGTCGCTCTCACTTAACCACAGGAGATAGAATCCTTTCAAAAGTGAAAAAAAACCTCTTGTCAGTTACATGTGTAAAATATACTTATTTATATATTTAGGGTTTTCGCGGGAATAATGGGGAAGCTTACCTAATCCATAATGTGTAAGTTATGCATATTGTTATCGCTATTTGCTGACGGTTATTTTTAGTGTAAATGTCAGCGAAACCGGCGAAGAGCATGAAAGGTAGAGGTTATAAATCCAAAGGCTAAGATTTTTATATACATACATAATGCATAAAAATAAAATGTGTAGCATAATGACAACTGGAAGGCATAAAATCATTCATATTTCCTGTGTTCGATGCGGATCCCAACTTGGATGGAAATACGTAAATTCGATAGATTTAATATATCAACCTGATTATGAATATCTGATCTCTGTGCTAAATTTTAAATAGACTGAAGCTCACGATGAGGAACAAAAGTACAAGGAAGGCAAATATATTCTGGAAAGGAACCTTATCCGGATAGTCAAATAATGAATACATACACACGCACACACTTATACATACATTAAATAAAATGAAAAGAAGATTAAGGATGAGGAATATCAGATTCTACTTTGTATTGTATGCATTTGTCCAAAAAACACTGACGGAGATTTAACCTCTGGTCAGCCACACATCTTGATACTCGTCCAAACTTCCATTATTTTTTATTACTCCAGTGAGAATCCCCCCTCTTCGCGATCATGTGGCATGAAGCAAGATCCAATGAGAAAAAGGTAATAATACCAAGTCTGTCTATTAATTGTTCTCATCAAAAATCTAGATCAAGGAGTTAATGGTTGACCACAAAAAGCGGGCTGAAAGACGCCGCGCTTACTACGAATCAAGAGTATGGACTCCATTCTTTGAATGAAATGGAGAAACTCATTTTTTTATTAGCGTGGAGATCCTCGTCAACTTCTTCGTGTTGTCGGTTCAGCTATTCTACTGCACCCAGATGCAGAGCAGTATTACCACCACGAGAATACTAATAACTTGTAAGCGAATCATTTAAGCTTTGAAATACTATAATTTCAGAGCCAACAATTAATGTATTTTTTATTATTATTATAAAGAATGCCCTGGCAAGGTGATCCGGATATCAAAATTGACCGGTAAGCCAAGAATTGAAGGTTTTATTATGCTGGTACCAAACGCAATCTAAATTCAATGCATTAGATTTGATGGCCGTTCTTTGCTTGAATTTGTACCAGATGCTAAAGCAAGAGACGCTAAACTACAGCCCACGGAAGACAAGGAATTGTCAGATGATTTAAACTTTGAGCGATATCATGATCTTGTAGAAGCAGAGAGACTAAAGGGTGAGTCTTTACTTTCTGTGTAATAATAATAAATATATATATATATATAATTAATGAGGCCCAATTTTGACAAAAATTTATCAAAATCTACAAGTATCCGAACATGATCGATTGGCAGAGGTGGAAGAAGAGTGGAACCAGCTTTTGGATCGGCACAAGGCTCTACTGGCTATGCTTACTGAAAAGTAATTACTTCAGCAAAAAGACTTAACATAAACTAAAATCTTATTTATTTATGTAGAAAGTCTGATAAACCTCAAGGATTTGGATATGATTATGGCACAAACACAACTAGTGATGATATGATAATTGATCAAGGACCACAACTCTTGAAAGATATCCTTTTTTTTGCGTGCGTGCGCGCATGTGTGTGTGTGTGTGTGTATGCGTGTGTTACTTATTTGGATATACTACAATGTAATCCTTGACAGTTATTTCTACAGACCGATATATTAAAGTACGTCGATGAGTTGAACGACAGGGATCGACAGACCCTCAACGACATGGCCAAGAAATATGGAATTCGAAGTTATGCTCGGCTTTTGAGAGTGGCCAAAAAAGATAGAGATGATGAATTAAGAGATCTCAGGGTAAGCGTATTCTCATTATAATAGACGTCAAATAGACTAATGTAATTAAATCGAAAGAAAAAGGACACTACTCCTAGAGAAGGAAGTCAGCGCTCAAAAGATGATAAGAGACGGAAAAGGAAATCTAGAAGAAGCTCAGGTGCTCGTTCTAGGCAAGTCAGAGTTTAATATGGTCTAGAAAACAAGCGCTGACAAGATAATACAGAGGAGGAAGAGAGAGCCCAAACTATGAACCATACAGACGTGCACAGTCAGATTCCGAGACTTCTGCAGAAGAAGACATGTCAGCACCATCCGATGTTGTGATTGAATTTGGCTCCGAGACTACGCCTTCTAATATTAATATGCCAGCAATAGCATCCTCTAGAAGAACTACAGAACCAACCTATCATACCAACCCCGAAAAAACACGTGTATCAGAGCCAGCAAACACTCGACCCGAGGAAAAGAAGTTGACACCTATGGAGAAGCTGAAATTGAAGATGAGAGCTGGATTAGAGAAACAAAGTAAAAAAAAACTTTTTTTTGCTGAATTTGAAGCCAATGCTAATATGTCCATTATTATAGTTCAATTGGATCAGCGTGATGAACGTCGTAAGAGGCTGGAAAAGGAGATGGAAGACTACCAAGCGTTTACAACCTACAATGGACCAATGGGGGTTATATTGGATTCTTCCCAATCTCTACGCACAAAAGCCAATCGTCAGTCAGACGAACCAACCAAACCTCTTGTCGCACCACCCAGTACACAAAGATATCGCTCCCCCAGCTCATCACGGTCACGGTCACGGTCCCGTTCGCGTTCGCGTTCACCAACAGCCTCGGCCCATCGTTTCTCCTCAACTCAATCCATGGCTACTCACTCTATTGATCGCCGCCACAGCCGCCGATCAAATAGCCGATCAACTTCCCCGAAAGACCGCCACAGCCGTAGTCGTAACAATCGCAGTCGGTCCCCCATCAGTCGTTCAAAAGACCGTCAAAGACGCCGTTCTCCAAGTTATTCTCCCACCAGAACAAAGCGCTCTAGACGCAGATCAATTAGTCCAGCAAACTCCCATAGATCACGAAGCAGAAACAGGCGATCTCACAGATCAAGGTCGCCAAAAAAACACCGCCATGAGCATGGTTCACGACATTGAGAAACGTAGGCAAATTAGCTTTTTTTTTTACTGTTAAAGATTTCATGGATTTGTCTAAAGATTAATAAGACCGGTTGGTTAAATTTGAGTATAGTGTGCATGCCAAGTATCCAACTATAATTTGAGTGTAGTTTTTATATATAACCTATTTTCCTTTTACTCCATTTAGAATGATTTCATTCGTAATATACAGCAGAAGCCAATTATCATAATATACTTAACTGTTCGGCTATGGCATGTGCTCGTATGTGTATTTGATCTGTAGTTTGTTTAAGAGGGAAACACAAGACAATATCTTAGTAAATAATATAATAAAATGTCTCTTTATTGAAGTTTCACTGCTTATATATCATCCCATCTACAGCTCTCTTTTTTTTAAGTTTGAGTATGTGCTGCTTAATGAATGCTGAAATTATATCAACACAAAATTTAAATGTGCCATCTATGTAAATTTATAAGAGATTTGGTATGCCAACTCAACCGACAGACCTCTATATTCTAATGCAGGTGATAATTACAGTAAATTTCCTGCTTTTTTATGCTATTTAAATATGATATATATACTGAGAATAAGTTATATCAATCAGCTAAAATTTGAAATATTACTCAGTACTTAGCAAAATCATCATCATAATTTACCTGCAGTCTATACCAAACAAAGCGCGTTTATTAACAAAGCATTTTTATTGTTACATTAATATAAAAGATATATATACCAGCTGAGATGGTAAGAGTATCTGCATAAACATAGAAGGAGTATACATACTTAGTGAGCTGATATATAATAAGAAATAAACAGTAGAAGTAAGGGCATATTTGTAAAATTGGGAAAAGATAATTAAATGCGTCATAACAAACAGCCGTATGAAGAAACGAGAACGTGCACGGTACAAATGAACAAATACTTCAGAACAGATCTCGTTCTTAACGTAAAGAAATTTGTGTACGAAATTACAATATTCAATAATTACCTCAGCAGACTATATCATTTGTTTTTCAGTACTAGTTTATACGATGATTAGTGAGCTGAGCATCAGCAAATCATTCTTTGACAACAACGATATCAAGATTAAAGAAAAAGTTTATGGCTTCAAACTCGCCAAATTACTACCTTTTGATACAACTACCGAGTCAAAAGATACTATACAGCCAATGGACAAGAGCTTGGTTAACCGTATTCGGTTTGATACAGACTTCAAGTGTCTTTCACAAGCCAGCATTTGCAAGTTGCACTTAACTATCTTTTTTTTTTTTGGTTCCCGTGGTGTTAAAGAAGACAATTTAAACGCTCACCCTGTGCAGAATAGTCTGTCTTGTTCTTTCAAAGAATCCGATCATGATAACCAGAGCTTCTATCTCGAGAAAGTATTATTATAAGCAATGGCGATGGCTCTTAAAACATACCTGACCAACTTTGAGAATATGTGGGATTGCAAAAAGATAATCAACAAACTTTTGGACAAAGTGATACTAGTGCTACTTCGCTACCATCTTGCCAGTAATAGAGGATCAAAGCGTATCTCGACCACAACAATAAATAAACCGCATGGAAAGAAGGATATGAGAAACAATGCGCGTTATTTTTGCTGTGCAGAGGACAGAAAGCTGAAAAACATGATACAAAAAGCAAAGAACAGGCGGATTAGAAGGAGAAAAGTGGACCACTAAGATAAATATAGCGAAGCAGCGTCTAGCAAAGTTAAGGCATACTTTTAAAAAGGTAAAGTGGAAAAAAACATTGGCTTGAAATCACCAACTAACGCTTCATTTTACTATAGAAGATAACCCAAATGCTGAATAGTAGAAAGTAAGCTTCTGCGGAACACAAGCTCGTTGTTCAGGATTTGAACATCGCGGAAGAACAGCAAGATTTTCTGGAATAGGATGAGACTTTGGAGGAGAATGTTCCAGGAAAGAGATTGAGTCCGTTTGAACCCATCATTGAGCACTTATTTTTCAGCAATGATACGTCTATATATTTAGAAGATGTTAGAAATAAGTCTCCTGATGCCTTCACAGCTGGACAGTCAGTATGCTCGTTAATCTGCAATACCCTGAAAAAAGTTCTTGCCTCCGAAAAAAACCGATATCACATAATCGCGTATCAAATATATTTCTGTATCTTGGCAGACGACGTTATTAAATATGCACGCTATATAAAGTCTACTCGCGCACTATGTCCTTCAGAATATTTTTCATCATCGAATGCACTACACCTCAATTCAATTGCATTATATCAATTATTGACCCAGACTTTAGATCAAGAACAATCCGAACAACCATCAAATAGCAATAAAAAGAAAGAGATTGTATAATGAATTGATACTCTATGGATATTATAGGGATGAGCTAATGTGGTTACCAGGAAAAGAGTGCCAAAACAAAAATTCCAGATTTAATGCAGTATTTGATATGGGTGAAATTCAGAAAGCATGTTAATTGTATGGTATATCTTTTACACACCGAATAATATGACTACCATGAATGAAAAGTGTACGCTTATTGGGATCAAAAGTAAAAACCGGTAGCGTCGTAAAGTAGGAGATAAACAATAGTGTGAAGCACGTATTTTAGGAAACCCAAGTATGGTACAAGAAGGGTGAAAAACAAAGAATATTTGGTTTTCTGAACTTCAAAGATTAATAGAAGAAGTCAAGAGACTTGAATTTGCCCGTAAAAGAAAGTTAGAGGTACTAAAAGACAACAGCTTCCAAAAAATAATAGTTCAGGAATGCAAACCAAAAGGAGGGACGATAGATAATAAAGATCAGCTACACCGCACGAACGAAAATGTAAAGAAGCTATATATAATTGTTGTATTTGACACATATTGAGTAACAGTGTGATACAAAAATGCAGACAGGTTATTATAGCCTGCTTCTCAATGGAACACTCTTCCTGCATAATAGCGTAAAAGATATACACCCAGTGTGACTGGATAATTCCCATTAAATGTAAATACCCTTACTTGATTTATTATTTTGTCTATAAGATCGATTCGACTTTATTAAAGGCTCCAGGCGTTGTCCACTGGGATATTGACAACATTTCTTTCTATTCAACTTGTCTTTTAATAAAAACTATTTTGAGTCTCAAAGTACTTATCAAGTCTTCCCTTCCATACCATAAATACAACAATAAAGCATATATGAAGGCTAACAAGATCAGAAATGAACTCGACAAAATAAGTCCACAGCTCATTTTCCGACAAATGATAATTCGTTTCAAATCCAAGCTGGATAGTGTTAAAGAGCTCCCTCTAGATAGCGGAAATCCTATCAAAGAATGCGGCAAAGGGGTGTCTAAGGCGAAGGACCGAACTATATTGAACCCTGATAAGTTTAGCTATGAGGGCACTGACAATGTTCTGGTGAATATTACAACATCAATACCGATGTCGTTACCAAGAATGGTATTTCACCTAAAGCTTTTCGGCCACTACACCGCGTTAAGCACACACTCAAATGAAGACAACATCTCCTTAAGGTTATCCAAAGAGGAAGAAACATTTTTACGTTTTTCATCAGTTACGAATATGAAGGCTAGTGATGTTGATGTTAGTCGCGGGTGTTTTCGGCAACGAAGATATTTAGAGCGACTGAAGAAGCATACCGATGGAGGAAAAGAAGTGCAGTCAATAGAAGATTCAACAAGAAAGATGGCATCTACCCCAGTCACTTTTAGTGCCATGGTCATTGAAAACCTTCACGAGCAATACAAACAACGGCGAAAACTACGGGATTTCTACAACTCAGCAAAAATGATTAACCAAAAAAGACATGTAGAAATTCAACAACATCGTTATTGTCATCGCCTCTTTCGGCGAAAGAGACTGAAACCGAAGCATTCAGATAGTAATAGCTAGCTACCGATATTACTATTGTGTTCAATTTTTATTAACGCACATTTCTTTTGGCTCAACAGGCAAATTCTCTTCCAAAAAATCCTTGCTATTCTTCACCGGTGATCGGGGAACTGGTACAATTTTTCGACCCAAAGGCTTTAGAATGTATGGAGGTAAGTGGAAGCAGAAGATACACAGGGAAACAGCCAATGTCTGCATCACAAATGAATGTAAGACCTCCCAAACGTGTATATTCTCTTTTTCGTCCTTAATCAACCCACGGATCCCTGGAAAGAAAGAAGGAAGCTACAAAGGCAATAAAGGTACCTTCCTTTGTATCAATTCTCGCTGCATCACAGTCAAGAAGCAATGGGCAAGTAAGCCAAGATATGCCTTTTCAGCTCTCGCGATTGCACTGATAGCTCTAACCTCTGTTATGTTTGGTGCCGCGCCCCCTCCTTTTTACAACGCCAGCCAGATAACTGTTGAATATTATACAACAATAACATCTGACCTGTAAACGAAGAAACTATTTGGCAGCTACATCGTAGCTTTAGAGGTAAACATTACAGTATAGTAACAATGAAAGTTTGTGAATTTTTCATTTTTTCATTTTTCATTTTTTTTTAAAAAAAAGTGCCTGTCCACTTTTTACGGGGATCCAAAGGCGCTCATAGCCAAGCATATTTACTACATCGATTTCGTGTGTTTAAAGCAGATAGACTGCCTTCTAACCGTTTATTCTTACGTTCAATATAAGGAAGACAGGGACTATAAAGAATCCAAAGCAATAATATAACCCCTAATTCCCTAGCCAATTTCTTTATCTAAAGCGATAAATTTCTATTCATTTTTTATTAAAAAAAACTATATTGTTTAATAAGAATGATAATAACTTAAACTATACTATACTGGACTAAGCTATAACAAATCGAATTTATTTGGACAGTCAAATAAAAGTGGTATAAACCATATCATTTAACAGTGTTGATAGTAATGGTGAATACGTTTACTAAGAACCTACGGACAAAAATGTCAGCTGAATGATAAGCTTGACTTGTGCATTACAGGTAAATGGAGTTTCTTTAACAAGTCACGAGTACGACCTAGTTGCTCCAATCGGTTCTCGCTCCTTCCTTCCCTTCGTTCTCTTACAAGAGGACCGAATCTGCAATGCCATACCTATCACCCAAATTACTATATACATTTCTATTCGCATGTCAAGGTTCAGCCCCAGTATACCTCGCTCTATTTTACTCATCTCAGCTGGGACTTAAGAGTGACCAGATCGGCCTCTTGGTGGCAATCGGTAAGGCTTTTCGACTTGGACTAGGGACATCATTAAAATCCCATCCGACTGTGTTTGACATTACTCATTTGTAGCACCTTTCATCTCTGCTATCGCCTGTCCCCTCTGGACAGCAATTGCAGACAAAACAAAAACCCACAGATACATCATGTGCATTATTCATACATTAGCAACAGTAGCCATTGTCAGTGTCATGGGTATATCTGTGGTAGTACAAAGCATGGCAAAAGAGGAAAAAAGCAAGTTGACAGTAGCATTAGTGACAACTACTTCAATTTGTTTTGCATTTTTTGGAGTTCCTGTGGGACCTCTAGTGGATGGAGGCGTACTGAAAATTCTAGGACGCAATAAAGATCAATACGGTAAGAGGGTATACATACAGAACTAGCAGTGAGTGTGAGTGTGTGTAATAAGCTAAACTTAATGTGATAGGTCGTCAGCGAATGTTTGGGTCAATTTCATTCGGTGTGGCTTCATCTCTAGTCGGCTTTATAACTGACTGGACAAATGATATGAATGCCATATTTTACGTGTATGCGATGTCAGCGGTATGCTTTATTCTGGTGGCAGGAAACACACAATTCAAGCCTGAAAGACTACCACCTAGTAGATTAAGAATGTCTAGACAACAACCAACCCTATACACCGCAGCATCTCAATCAGGGTCTAGTCAAGGGGAAATGCAGTCGAAAGGTCCCAACAAGATTAGACAGTTCCACATGGATTTCGATGCATACGATGACGGCTTTGCTGAAACCCACCTTCCACAAGTACGAGAGAACGAAATTCAGCGTTTGATTCAATTTGCCACCGAATCTAGCATCATTGAGGCCGTAAACCTTTCCAACCCACCCCTTCACAGGCGTCGTCCTTCTGCCATAGCAATAGAAACTGAAGATAGCCCGCCTGAGCCCACTCCTACAACTTTGTTTGAGCTACTGCGTCAACCACGAGTCTTTCTTTTCTTTCTAACAATGATGTTGATGGGGGCTGCTCTTAACATGGTCATCAGCTTCCTTTTCATCTTTCTCAAGCAAGACCTGGGTGCCAGCTCCTCTCTGGTTGGACTGACAGGTTTGGTTGGATCTGTGACAGAGTTGCTATTCTTCTTTTATTCCCGAGATGTAAGTCAAACCCATGCAATTGGATGACGGAATGAAGAAAAAGAAAAATAAAGTAAACACTCAGGACAATCTAATGTACTTGTAGTTGATACGCTTATTCGGTATCAAGAGTCTTATAATCCTCGGTCACGTTCTTACCATTGTACGTGTGTTTGCATATACAATCCTCCCCAAAGGACCCACCGGAGCTACTATCGCTCTTGGTCTTCACCTGTTGAATGGCATTGCATTCTCTGCATTGTGGGGTGCAGGTGTCGTACAAGCGGATGAGCTTGCTCCTCCATCTCTTCAGGCAACATCTCAAGGTGTATTGGCGGCTATGTATGCTGGTGTAGGTGCTGGTATGGGCAGCCTAATGGGTGGAATGTTGTACGATCGATATGGAGCAAACCAAATGTTCTACGCTGCTATCAGTTTGACGTGCTTTAGTTTGGAGCTTTATCTGGAGACGAATACCCGATGTGGACTAAGTGATTTCGCTCGATGGGTATATCGAACGTCTATAAGTCTACATAAATGGATACAACATGCACGTGGAATTGGCAGAGCTGTTCCACGATGGAGTGGTGGGCGTAGAGGACAGATTCGATTAGAAGGCCATTAAATTAAATAAGAGAGCAAGAAAGAATAAGGGGGGAATAAATGTCCCTTGATGTAAATATTATAATAATAATAATAATAATAATAATAATAATAATAATAAAAAGAAACATTAATCATTATGCTTTGAGGAAGTATACATGGCCGCTCTCGTCATATGAAGCCAACACATTTGAGAATGGGTGACCAACCAAGCCAATCACCTCTGCGTCTCCAATTTTTGTCTCTCCCAAAAGATTTCCTGTTGTGGTCTGAAAGCAATACAGGGAACTATCCTCTCCTACGCCATATACAAATTCGCCTTGGGGGGACATGGCTGCACTGACAAAATCTGAGCCAGTCTTTTTATGGTGTGAGTAAGACTTTGTGATCTGTCCCCGCATCGTCATGATGTACAAAGTGTTGCTCTTGACACATATAAGGACTTGATCCATGTTCCTAGGAACTCTAACAATAGACTGGACCGTCTGACTACCAATGCCGCCTACCGGGTTCAATGCTCCTTTTGAAAGATCGGCATTGGTCTTCGGAGTGACCGTGTGGAGGCAAGATGTGGTCTTTGTATCCCAGATCTATGCAAGGATATCAGCCTAGACGCATAACTGACATGGTACAAGAAAGACACAAAGAAAGAAATAACCATGCTTGAGCATCGTTTGTGTATTACCTTTACAGTTCCATCACTGCTTGCGCTTAGTACGCGAGTATAATCACTCGAAAAGGCTACTGCATTTACAAACGAAGAATGACCACGGAACTCTTTAAGTGTTTTTCCAGATTTCAAGCCGTGAATCTTGACTGTATGATCATAACTTCCACTTAAGACCTGTGTACCATCCTTATTGAAACATACAGAGGTCACGCCTTGACTATGTGCAGGAGATAATCTTCGCTGGGAGATACCTGTCTGGACCTTCCACACCTATGAATATCACACCACAACAAATGTCCGTTCACCTGTCAATTTCATCTTCTCGTTCATCTTTTGGTTTCACATAATTAGCTTTTTCCTTTTCTGGCCTTACCGTGATTTTTCCATCTGTAGATCCAGACACAAGAAGTTCGCTATCTTGACTAAAGGCTAGACACAGAACCGCATTGTCCATTGCCATCAGTGAATCCTGTACATTGTGACATATCCATTACCCATAATTGATATTGTATAACTTGTACTTTTTTTTTTAAAAAAATTACCTCTGCTTGATATGAAAGATCTTTACGCAGTTTTCCCGTCAAATAATTCCAAATTTCAATAAACCCATCTACAGTTCCAGTGGCTATATATTGGCCATTTGGTGAAAACACTGCGCATTCTGCAAAAGTCTTTTTTCCTGGGAACTATTACAAAGACAATAGATTATCTAAATACCTCACTACATTTCCCGTTAATTTCCGAAACTAACCTTGATAGACAGGTAAGGTTTGGTTACAGAAGCGTCCTCTTCTGCCTTTTGTACATGAGAAACACCACGGAAAAGATCGTATGCTGTATTAGGTTGTAATAGACCTTGTTGTTGTTGCCATTTCAAGGACTGTCCAAGCAATGTCAACAGACGTGAAGGAGGCACAGTCGAAATATGAGATACAAGTTCTATTGACTCTTTTTCAGTACAAGCCAAACCCCACAGTTAATCTTGCATGTGAGTGTATCTAACCTTGAGCAATTCTATTGCGCCTTGCTTCTTTGGTTTCTTGGCCATACATGTCCTTTGGTTGTACAAAAATCTGTTCCAATTGGATATAACGATCTGTTTGGTTCTCTTTCATCCATCGCATAGCATCAGTCCTCTTCATCAAAGCTCGAGCAGTTCCTTTTTCGTTTAGATCAACTAGTTCAATTATAATCTATAAAAGTACCCGCTTATGAGCCAATCCACGTATATAAAATATTACTATATATATATAGAGAAAAATAGTCCGAATACACACTTGTTCATAAAGATCCACAAGTTGTGGGGGAGGTATACTAAGACTAATGATCTGTTTGAGAACCACATCCCATTTTCCATTTTTAATGTCATTCATCAAGCCTTCTTTACTGTCAACGGTGTTTAGCGTGACAGAAGACTCATCCTCGAGTGCTTGAAGTGTGCGATGAAGATTATTTTCACGCAGGAACTGCAGAATGAGCTTGACAGTACTAAAATAAAAAAAGATGATTTATTATTCTGGATCCGTAGAGAACATGCCAAGTTAAATGGCCTACTCTTTAGATTGGACGGTAGACATGGTCAAAGATGTGTCGATCAAGAAAGCTTCCCCTCACAAAACGAAAAGACTGTCACAGTAAGGCAATCGAGTTGTCACTAATGCTTTTTTTATGTATATACTTTTTTTTATTGATCATTAAGAGAAAGACTTTTTTTTTAAGAATAAATAAATGTATATAATGATGCATCACTAAGATGAGCTGTGAAGATCCCATCCGTTTGCAGCTGAAATTAACTTTACTTCCAACTCATAAGCTTCTAAAGCCTTCTCGATGTGTCGAACAGCAGTTCCAAAAACAACGCTATTGCCTGTAAATAGTATTGGCTGTTAGCTAATATACATGAATATAAGAGTTTAAGTTTTACCGTCTTGCTCTAAGAAACAAACTTGCATAGCGTGTTGTTTGTCAGACGGACCAGGAAGTACGGTAACTTCAATATTAAAGCGTAAATGAGATTGTTCTCCATCTATTTGAATTATATTAGATCCCTGTAAAATAATATCATAGGTCTAAAAAGCCTTTAAATAAATGAAAACCATGTTACCCTGATCTTCCCAGAGCATATCTCCTTTTTGCGAGTTATTATGATCATTTAAATTTTCAGTTACATTGCCACCCATATGCTATTGTTAAAAGCTTGTGACATTAGTATACTCTTACAAAATATAATGAGTGTTGACTTGCCTCTTTAATGATCTGCCGAATTTTACGAACAACCTCTTGCTCGTCTCTTCCAATACATGTCATAGTGCATATCTAAAGTTAAGTAGTGTATACCCTTAATTAAAAAAAAGGTCTAGGATTTTTCCACAAGAAATATTATAAGGATATTATTCATTACTTTTGGCTGTGGTTGATGAATATGAGCCGGTACCCATGATAATTGATGGGAAGAATGATTGACTGTAACATGAGGTACAGATACAAGTGCTTTGCAAGAAGAATCTTCCATAAGTGGATGTACGGGTACAGCCTTGTGGGAATTAATATTTTTGTGGTAGTTGTCTGAACATAAAAAAGGACTACAGGCTATCTTGTCGTACACAAGCCTTGTGCGTGGCAAAGGTGTTGATATTCGGTGCGATGCTCGTGGTGATTTTATCTTAGTAATGTCTCGCATTTTATGCTTCCAGAGATTCATACATTGTGTTATGGGTGTGTTGTTGCAACTAGTTGTGAGGGTGACTTCCGGAAAAGAATGCTTCGTGGTATCCATTGTAGATTTCTGCCAAGTGGTTGCTGGAAGACAAATGTGATTTATATATTTTTGCACAGACTATGACTTATGTTGGTTAATATATATTAACTCTAGGGGCTTACCATTAACCCTAACAAAAAATAATAATAATAGCAATAAGTGTAATGATAAAACGGGATATAAGGCTAAATATTATATTAGTTACTTTACGAGACGCAAGCTTACTTATCGTTATGATATGTCAGTTGTGACACTGCATTATCAGCACAGTTGCGTCTATAGGAGGTTGTTGGCACCAATGTTTCAGGTGATGGATTGCCCGAGCAAGACAACAATTTTGGGGTTACACATCTAATAGGCAATGTTTGCTTCCCACCATATCCTACACATATATGAAGCAATGTAAAAGAGAAAGAGTCAAACCATCAAACTCAAGTTGGAATACATTACTTGTTCTTTTTTCGGGTTTTGACTGAAGGAACCGGCGTTGACTGGTGTGGCGTTTGAGTAAGAAGTATGTTACCTTTTGCATATTATAACTAGTATCACAAAAGGCGTCATTGCATTATTATTATTGGTAAACGTTAGCGGCTTACGAGTCATTAAGCAGGGAATTAATTATCTGTCTCGTAGTTAGACCTTTCCAAAGAACTTTTAGTGTTTCCACTAATCTATAGTCAATTTCGGATACATTTGAAGCTAATCTACCGATATCTTTTGCACTTGGTAGTATAGAAGGATTTGATAATCGAGGTACCACATCATCAACGAACCATGCATGGGATTGGATTGCCTTTATCTGCATGAATTAAAGCATAAATAAAAGCTGGTATTTGTTTATGTTATGTAAGGTTTCTCACAAACTTACTGTCAACCGCTTGCCGGGTTGAAATACCAAAAGTCTTTGTATCAAATCACGCGCACTCGCCGATACGTGTTCTGGAATTACATACCTCGCCAACTTAACCTATTCAAGTTCAATTGATTGCCCCAAAAAAATGTAATAAATTTACCTTGTTTAATAATCTCCCAATATTCTTATCGTCAAAAGGTAAATATCCACACAAAAGAGCAAACAAAATCACTCCACAAGACCATTGATCGGTAGCTGGTCCACTATATGGTATTCCCTAAAAGACATTTTATAATTTATACTTTACATTTCTATATATATATATATATTATTTCTTTAAGAAATAAAACAATAATGCTTAAGATACTTACCATCACAATTTCAGGACTGGCATAATGCGGGGATCTAGGTAAAAGAGATATTGATTAACAGCAGTAAATATAATACTTACTTATCACAGACTCTTACCCACAGCTAGTTTCGAGCAAAGTGTTTGGAGGTTGAATGGAAGCCATCCCAAAATCAGCTATCTTTATGTTCTTATTCTTGTCGATAAGAATATTCTCAGGCTTTAGATCGCGGTGACTAACAAAAAAAAGTATATAAATAAAGTTAATTATACGATTAAATAACATGCTTAGATATTTGTAAACGGCCTATTCAAGTTTTACCATATCATATGCTGATGACAATAGTCAAGTCCAAACACAATTTGTTGGAAGTATTGGCGCGCTTCTCGTTCGGCAATGCGCCCATTAATTACAAGATATTCAAATAACTCTCCTCCTTGAACATATTCCAGGATCAAATAACTAGAATTCTCCTGAGATTCATAACATATAAGTGGTAAGACTTACATGTATAGAGAATATGGTGAATCAATAACTTCCAGTAATTGGACAATGTTAGGGTGCTGCATTAATTGCATCAAGGCGATCTCACGTTTGATGGTGTGGTAAAGGACTGGGTTAGAAGCCATATAATCCTTCGATACGATTTTGACAGCTACTTTTTCACCAGACGCCTTGTGAATCCCAAGCTTAACACGACCTAATATTTAAAATAAAGAAATAAATCAGTGATTGAAATAGTGCACAGACCTACATGACTGTTTTACCTGATGATCCCTTTCCCAAAGTTTTCCCTAGCCAGTAGTCACCTACTGATTTACGGCGATGATATGTTGGTTTGATATTAGAGGTCGAATCGCGAACTTTTAAGTCAAGGTATTTTCTGATGGGCAAAACCATGTAGTGTTTGAAATATTGTGATATAAACATGCTCTAAAGAGTGAGAATGAGACAAAGAGACGGAGAAAATCAATTGGAATTATAATGGCAAATATCTTTTGGAAGGAGAGCTGATTCTATGAAATTAAAGGGGTGAAAAAAAGTACTGAGTCAGGTGAGGTATTAAGTTAAAGGGGGTGAATAAGATTAGCGATTCGGTTCAACCCTTTTACACGCCACATAGTTAAGCAGAGTATATATGTGTAGATGCATTTATTTATAAATATATGTAGAAAAAAATATAAGTTCATATTAAATTAGATAGGCTTGTTATAACCACCCTTAGTCCTTGTATTTATTTAGGTGAATGTCGAGTATACAAAAAAGTCGTTGATGAAAGTATAAAATTCTAAAATTGATGAGTAGCATGGCTATATAATACGGGAGATTTTCCGGCAACCTCTGGTACAGTCATTTCTTAAATCAATAGGTGGAATGGCAGTAATTTTTTAAAGCATAGGAGACTTCGGTTTGCTGAGTTAACGAAGAAGGAACCTGGCTTTGAAAGTAATCGGAAGGATAAGAGACAGGGATGTAAGGGTTTGAGTCGGCTAGAGAAGTGGGTGTAACTGGAGTATCATATTGATCAACGGCAAGTTCTTTAAAACATTGCATATCAGAATAGTCAAAATTGGCTTGTATAGGTCGCTCTACCCAAGTCGGATAGAGCATTTCTGAAAGAGATGCTGAATATACTGCAACTTCCATAACACCAGAATTTATGTTCTCATGAAGGCTGTTCAATTCAGACCCAAGACGGGGTTCCGTAACGAGTTGACAGAATAATTGAGTAATGTTGGAGCACCATTGAATTTGAGGTATAGGTTGAGGAGTTGATATATCATCATTTGATAGAGTTATTTCGATGAGTATGACTGAAATGTATGCTTGAAATGCGAGGGCTAATGCATATGCGACAATGCGATTCGATTGTAATATACCACTGTTCTCTTTGCTATAGAATAGTGAAACATAATGATAGGTTTGTGTTGAGAGTGTAAAAAGGCGTGCTGATGTGTTGCTGTCTTGCTTGCTGTTTATGATGGAATGCATTTGAATGGTGTTGTATAGAATGTGAAGGTAAAAGATGATAGGTGATTTAGATGTTAATTGTTCAGATGAGTCGAAGTTGGTGATAGTATCAAAGCTTGCTGAAATATGTGGCGGTAGGGACTTGACCCAAAGGCTGTTGGCGTTTTCAAAGGTGGCAAAGTTTGAATAGCCCGATGGCCAGGCTGCGGGTTCATTGGAGGGGCTGTCCATAAAACACTGGACTTGAGAATACAAGACAGATATCTTGAGAAGTTGTACAAAGTCTGTGATTTCCTGACACTCTCTTGGGTCATTAAAGTCGGCTTCTAGAGCAGAAGGAAGTATATGAGGATGATGGGCCTTCTTGAGCATATTCGACCAACGAAGTTCGGCAAGATTCGATAGGCATAAGTTGGCGTAGAAGACCCAGTGAGTTCTGCAGACAAGCTTATTGTAGTCAGAGGACATATCATTCGTAAATGAACCCAGCTGTTCTAGTATGATGTTTACACGAGACATAAACACAAATGCCGAGGTTGGAAGTGATGTTCCAGCTGGAGTGATGATCTCATTATATTTGTAAAGTAAAAGCAGGGTCTGTGCCACGGAAAGGTTGATGCGGTGATCGTTCTCGACTCTCGTCTTGGACTGATTATAGAAATAGGCTGATAGTTTGACCATGTCTTGATTCCTCGAAGCTTCTGATTCTAAGTAGCAGGATACTGCAAGTATGGCATAACGAAGTGCAGGAAATATTGTGTGATAGTCCGTTCGCGACATATTAAGTACAGAAGACTTGTGGAGAATAGGATACGAAGAATGAACTCGGTCAAAATAAGATTCGACTAGCATATGTTCGAAGGAGTACTGAGAGCTTGGATTTGATTCGAGTTGATAGGTGTATTCGAGAATTGAAAGGCCTCTTTGAGATAATATGTGTTCAGCATCAGGGGAAGGATTAGAGTAATGAAGTTCATAGTTGACATGTCCAGCATGGTTGATGTGTAAAAGAGGATAGCGAGTATAGCATTCATTTACACGAGCAGCTAATTGTGATGTAGAAGCTTGATGATTCATATGCTTAATTGGTGCTTGGGTTTCTACTGATTCCGTAGCTGCTAATTCATTGGCTTGAGGTGAAATAGTAATATCTGAACTCTTCTTATTAACTTTTTTCCTTGGGGTAGTTACGGAAGAGAAGCTACAGACGGTGTGGGCACGTTTACAGTTTGTGCAGGTACCTGAGCCTGGTACACCAAGGTCACATCTATATAGAAAGGTTAGACAAAATAGCAAAATAGCAAAATAGAAGGAGAAGAGTGATTTACTTTGATTTGCGTCGACGACAATGATCGCATGCTTTGCTCACTTTAATCGTTTGATAGCGGTTCGGATCATTCATATCGATAAAGCGGTATCTGACACGGTTAATTGTAGAATTTCTAGGGGAAAGCATGATTCTTGGGTGCAAATGATTTTTGATTTTTGATTTTTGATTATTATTAATATTATTATTATTATTTGGTTTTTTGGACAAGGAGAAAACAATGGATCGATATTCAAATTGGGGATTTATAAGAAGAATATTAACCAAGAAATCATATTCATGTAACAAATTCCAATAATGGAAGCGCCCAGTCTTTAGAGAGAGAGAAGGAAAGTGTATTAAGGAAAGTGTTACGGAGGATTGAGTGTCAGCCACAATAGTAAGCAGGTCTATGGGGTCGTGCTTGCAATTTTTTTTTAGGTCCAAAAATAATAATAGTTTTTGTCCTACAGAGGCAGTACATCCAAGACGACTTAGTCTGGAATACCAACAGTTTACAATTGCCTTTTTTTTCTAAATAGTCTATCAAAAATATTTTCAATTTAGGTAACTAAGAAGGAGAGATCAAAGCGAACGAACAAAAGAGAGAGAGAGAAGAAAAAAGAGATATTAAAGGCTGACTTAGAGTGGGGGGAGTAGAGAGGAGGAGTTTTTGGTGAGTCTAAAGAGAATGCGTCTAGACTTACTTTATTTTCCGTGTAACTATGGCCAGCAACAGTGTTGGAAGTCTATTGCTAGACTTGTCTAAAATATTCTTTTTCTTTATTTATTTTTTGGGGGAGTGATATATATGCCTAATGGAACCAATGGCTTGATTGTAGCTATTTATTGTCATACAAGTCTGACTGGTTCTTCTGCACTTCATAACTGAGCTAGTAAAAGCACCATTGTTGATTTAATCTATTGTCAAGGTTACGCACAAGGTAACTACTATCAACTGGATTAAAATAGATGTTTATATGTATTGAATCTAAGATAATTGGTGGCGTATAGATGATAAGTTTCCTTATTTTACCCAAGTACCGAATACCAAAAAAAAATTACAAAGGGACAGACCGAATTCCCGGTTCAGTTCAGTTTCACAGTGAAAAAAAAGTGATCGGGATTTTGTGACACAGTTGATCCTCAAGCGATCCAATAAGTTTGTCAACTGCACATTATTAGCTCCTATCCAGACACGAGGATTAGGCCTAACTGTGATCCGCCAAGAAGCTTCCCAGCTGTTCCAATAGCGCAGTATAGTATCATCTTTCTTTTAATAAGCGACATCCTCACCACATAGCAAGTCCACACCCTACTAGTATTCTTGACAGTATCTCAAGTGTGTTAATTACAATAATAATACTAATTTAAAGCAATAAGCGCTATAATACTCTAGCTGACGTGTATTCCCAAGCAAGTATCTAAGAAACGAGGAGACAAAAGAGGATATTGAACTGGCTTTATAAGTACTTATTAAGCAGCATAAATGGGATACAAAAAATACATAGTGGTCTGATATTTTTGCATACTCGTTGATGGCTTAAAGCAGACAGTCCTAATGTACTGTATTTTTCCAACCACCACCAGAGCCCTTTTATTCTGTATTTGTAAAATTATAGCTATCTATATTTCAGCCACACATCATGTATTCCCAAGTGATGTAGTTAGCTCCGTAAGTCAAGGAAGTTCGAAAATCCAAAGAATTAGAATGTATTGCTCCGATTAATAAAACCAGATCTGATTCACAATTATATGAACACCAAATCATAAATACATTGTAAGCATAATTCAAGTGTGGCGTTAACAATTGATGACCTTGCCTGTTTTGTTGCTTTACTCGCTCCAGCCATTCCAATTTCCTTAATTAAACTAGTGAGGTCGGTCTTACAGTTGGCTTTAATAGAAACTGCCAAGGAACTGTGCCGAAATAACAAAAAGTATAATTATTGTTCTACAGAAACATTATCAAAGAGAATATATAAATATATGTATACATGTTACTGATTACATATAAAAAAAACACACACTTGAAACTAACAGACTAATATATAGATATTTGCTTGAGGACTTTTCTTGAGAATTATCGCGGATTTATTTCCACATCTCCATAAAGACATTTTCTTATTTTGATTACTGTCATTCGCTAAATGCACTTGATTGTAACGGTAAAAGATAGTAAAATGGGCAAGTTACAACCCCTCTGTCCTACTTGATTGTCTGCCTATCAATAAGCTTTTTTCTTTTTTAGAAAAATAAAAATCACTATCGAGACACCAAATAAGGTTCTAAACTTTAGCACAACCTCTCTCTCTCTCTCTTGATGTAACATACATTGTATCCAGTTTTCGGCTAACCGGTCCATAGTACATAGCGTCATCAAGATTTTAAGTTAGTCTACCGAGTTAATTGTTTTGTTAAAGAGGTCGGGCGTATCACTTCTTCTAAAGAAGTACTTTTTTTTGTAAGATTATGCTCTTTATTTTCGAGAGAAAAAGATAAGAGAGTCCCTACATATTTAAATGATAATACAGCAGTTAAGTATATAGCCACTGCAACTTATATCTGGTCCACTGGTAGATCCGGGCATTTTCATGCTTATTTAGAGAATATAACATGTGACGTAAAAGAACCAGCCGCGAATTTGTTATCAGAACACCATTATGGTGCTATGAATACCATGACACTGTACTCCTCCTTTCGCTTACCCCCATCGTGTGCTCAAAGCATATTTGATAAGCTCTTTAATTGTGAAATTCTCGACTATATGTGGTTGCTTGGCGTTTAAACAAAATAGAGAAAATAGGATCATATCTTCTGTTATTTTCCTCATTTAAGCTGTTCTCTTGCACAATCCCTCGCAAGTTTGTCAGCTGCAACATTCCCAGGTTCTCCGCTATGTCCCTTGATTTTTATCTTATACATAAAAACAATGAACGTTGTGTTGCACCTATCACACTATTATCACTTACAATGTCTACTGGTCCTATTCTGTTTTTAATAGCTTTCTTAAGATCTGCAGTAGCTTTAGGAAAGTACGACTTTGGGGTGTCCTTTTCACTTGCTTGAAATAAAGTTGGAACTTTGTGCATTAAGTATATTCCACAACAATATTTCCCTGTGTACCTTTTACCGGAGCTTGAGAGTCGGTAAATATTTTAAGCGTAAATCCGTTGTTGGGGGCTGCCTGTATTGCTCGCATAACAGCCTAAAATGTCCCATATAAAAAATTCGCATTTTATAGACAATATTAATAATCGAGTTGTTAAAAATAAGCATGGACCTGAGCAGAAATACTTGCATGTATTTCAACAATATCACTTTTCATAGAACTTTCTTCATATTTTTCGGATAGATTCTTAGGATCGTTCACACCAAAGAACACTCCGATAGCAGCTACGTAAGTATTCTTGCTCAAGGGTACTTTAATGATAGATGCGTCTGTGTACGCTATAATCACTTTAGCTACCAAGTCTAATTTAGTATAATACAATGTTTAATACATTGTATTCTACAACAAACTTCAGATCCTGTCGGCTTACCCTGGCACATTTTATTTGGCAAACAAGTAGATAATTTCATTTTGGTATAAAGAAAAGAAAAAAGAAGCTTATAATAAGGAATATATCTTTTGAAGAAAATACTTCAAGATAAAATCAACAAAATTACAATAAAATACACACGATAAATACCTTCCCACATGTATTTAACAATCTTATATTTAATTTAACATAGTTTCCTAATATTAGAGCTGCATGACTAAGATCACAGTTCGTTATTAACTACAGTATGACGGCCAATCATACTTTGGCTTTCTATAGATTTTGCTTGATTCATGAAGGAGAAGAAGGAATAATAGTAATATTACCTAGGCTTTTTTTTTTAAAAAAAAATAAAATAAAATAAAATGAATTACTTAAACATATTACTTCTTACAGCAAGATTCTTATTATTAAAGCACGTAATATAATAAATTGATCAACAATATTCATTGTTGTTTCATCTTCAATATATGTCAGAAGCTGTTGTTTCATTGGCTCTTTTTTAGTATTTAACGAAGGAAACGTCACATAACTTGGATTACAATCAGCTTTGCACCTTACCGTAATGTCATATAGGAAACAAAGTAATAATTGTGATTCATTTATATAATTCGATTGTAAAGTAATCTCGTGATTAAAAGTAACTTTTTAACCTATACTTTAATTGACATAGCACCTATGCCATTTCAGAAACATGGCTCATATAACCGATCGAGAGGATATATGAGCTACTTGGTTACAAATTTAGATCACCAAACATTGCCAAGTACAATTTACAGTGTCTTTCAAAAGTTTGGCAACGTCAATCGAGTTGAACTAGGACTCAATGGAAACGAGTGTGCCGATGGGACAGCTACTGTTCAGTTTGTGTAGGCTGCATATTTTTGATTTTTTTTTTGAACCCAGGACCTTATGTACATTAACTTTCTCTCTCCCTTTCCCTTTCCATCTCCCTCTTTTTATTTATTTATCTATGGGTTAATATTGGTATCATTTATTTAGCGGCTCCCCGCAAAACCTCGATTTGAATAACAAGGGTATTAAGATTGATGGACGAGCAGTAAAAATAGAACCAAATCTCGACTTTTCCCCACGTGAGAACAGATATGGAAAACCAATGAACAAGATACGGTTTCAATCACGTTCATTTTCAATGGGTACTATGGTGAAACCAGATAAGCTAGTCGAACATTGGACAACTCAGAATAACTGTGCTTTGATTATCAACTTTGATATGCGCCAATATCACATCTTCTTTGATCATGGAAATCAAAAATATCGAGCCGAATTCAAATTCAAAGAACTTCTTGACATAGTCGAATTAGAAAGAGAAGAAAACACATGGTATTTTACCTTTCAACTCCGTTATCCCGCCAGATTTTGGCGCCAAAACCCAAATGCTATACGAGAGACGAAGACGACGTTAGTTGCAGATTCTCAATGGGAAAGAGTTGTAAAAATCCCAATGGAGACCTCTGGCTCAACCACAGCTTTCAAAGGAGTAACTTTGAACGAAAGCAAGAAGACTCCTGTCACACTTATTTTACCACCTGGAATGATTCAACTAGGATCTTGGCTTGTTTATCGTCTTAAAATGAAAGTTACTCCTGATCAAAAAGACAGCTTTTATAATCAACTTCAAATGGCTGCCAACTACAATGTACTGCGCCGAGATTTTCTGGATACACCTTCAGGATTGCATCTCAAAATCATTGCAAGTAACACGCTCCCAAGACGGAATACACATCTTGAGAGGGCAACGATGTTCCCATACGATGTTCTTTACATGCTGGAGAGTGTAATCTTAAATCACTACTTCGACGAAATAAACTTGGACCAGGACTTTTATGACATGATAAAAGAACTTCCGCATTCAATAACTTGTGGAATTCTCGAAATAGTGTCTAATTCCAAGAAGCGGGTCTGGGATCCAGATACCGAGTTTAGAAAAATCTGGGATACTCTGCGTATGAAGGTGTGTCATAAGCGGAAGATCCCAGATCACTGCACAATGATGCGGAAGTTAGTCGTTACCCCAACCTCAATCTATATCCAACCACCCTCCCTTGAAACTACAAATCGTGTCATCCGTCACTTTAGAGCATACACCGATCGCTTTATACGAGTCCAGTTTTGTGACGATGGAATGAATCGTATCAGTGCATCGCACACAGGCCTAAGCAACAATGAGGTTTATGATCGTATCTATAAAGTTCTCACAAACGGTATCCAAATAGGGACCCGTCGTTATGATTTTCTTGCCTTTTCCAATTCACAGCTACGAGATCACGGCTGTTGGTTTTTTGCGCCAACAAAAGACATGACTGCATCAATGATTCGAGATTGGATGGGTAGATTTTCACACGTCAAGATAGTGGCAAAAAATGCAACACGTATGGGCCAATGTTTCTCCTCCACCCGCCCAATTTGTCAACTAAATAAAGAGGATGTTGAACGTATTCCCGATGTTGAACGCAATGGCTATACTTTTTCAGATGGTGTTGGGATGATCTCACCTGCATTAGCAAGAGAAGTAGCAGCTACTATGGAGCTCAAGCACGTACCTAGTGCCTTCCAATTTCGTCTTGCTGGTGCCAAGGGTGTTCTTACAGTAGCCAGTGGATTGACTGGTCGGAAGGTTAAACTGCGTCCTAGTCAGATTAAATTTGACTCTGATCATTTGGTGCTTGAGGTCATCCGCTATTCTACATCAATTCCAGCATATCTTAACAAGCAAATCATCACAATTCTCTCTGCTCTTGGTGTCGAAGATAATGTGTTCCTCACTTTGATGGATGATATGCTTAAAACATTAAATTCTATGCTAAGCAATCCATCCGAGGCAATCAAAGTCCTAAACAGCAATATCGATGAGTTTGGTACAACACAGACCATGATTCGAATGATCCAAGCAGGATTCATGGATAAGAAGGATCCATACACAGTAAACTTGCTCAACATGTTCCGAGTCAGCATGTTAAAGAACCTGAAGAAAAAAACAAAAATTAATGTGCCAGAAGGAGCCTTTCTGTTGGGTGTGATGGACGAAACAGGCTCTTTGCAAGAAGGCGAAGTGTTTTGTCAAGTAACTGAACCATCTGCACAATCATCTCGGAAACGCATTATCACTGGCGACATTGTTGTCTATCGCAACCCTTGTTTCCATCCTGGCGATGTTCGTGTTGTAAATGCAGTTGACTGCCCTAAGCTTCGTCATTTATCAGATGTAGTCGTGTTTTCTTCACAAGGATATAGAGATATTCCAAGTATGTGCTCTGGTGGTGATCTTGACGGAGATGACTACACGTAAGTAGACAGCTGAATATAGTAACTCGCGAAGTCTAACACATATATCCATAGAATTTACTGGGATAAAAGACTTTTACCCCCAACTCGAAACTATACACCAATGGACTATGAGCCCGAAAAGCCGCTCCAAGTAGACGAAGTTCATATATCACACATATTAAAGTTCTATATCAACTATATGAATAACGATAATCTTGGTCAGATTGCAAATGGACATCTTGCTACGGCTGACATGGCCTTTGATGGCGCGCTCAATGGGTCGTGTAAACGTCTTGCACAGTTACATTCATCCGCAGTTGGTAAGCTTTACTAGATTTTTTTCTTTTAAAAAAATACACATACCAGCACAATTACCATATTAACAATGCCATACAATGCCTAAACTACCACAATATATGTTTAGATTTTCCAAAGTCTGGTATACCAGCTATTCTTCCCGACGATCTCAAAGTTCGTTGCTTCCCAGATTTTATGCAAAAGAAGGACAAGGAATCCTACCCATCTAAAAAGGTTCTCGGCAAAATCTTCCGTGCTATTGATAATAGCGATTATAAGGAGTATAAGACCAAGCTAATAAGTACCACCAAATACGACGTCCGCCTTCGAGTAAAGGGAATGGAACGTTATGTTCTTGAGGCTCGTACTCTCAAAGCAAACTATGATCGAGACCTTTTATCGTTGATGAACCAGTATGGTATCCAGACAGAAGCAGAAATAACCTCAGGTTATATTATCAAATGGCTTAAAAAATCCAATCGCAAGAGTACTCATGAAATACAACAACAAGCGATGACAGCAGCGACTAATCTTAAAAATGCGTGGAGGAAAGAATTTGAAAAGGAATTCTTATCCGGAAGCACAACCCGAATAATCGATAATGAGACAGAAGCTGTCATGGAGATGAAGGCTGCAGCTTGGTACTACGTTACATACCATCCTACTGAGCAGCACAGATTAACAACAGTAGAAGGAAACTTCCTGAGTTTCCCATGGGTCGCCGAAAAGTACTTATGCAAATTAGCCAAACGCAACGGAAGTCGAGAAGAGACCGAAGAGCTAGCTAAAGCTTTAGACGATGAAGTTATCCAAGAAGCAGAAAGAATGAAGTCAAGAGGTCTAGTCATTGAAATGCTAGACTCTGAAAGTGATTATGACGATGATGAAGAGGAGAAGGAGAGAAAATATAGAGTTAAAAGCAAAATGAAAGAAAGCGGCCATCCATCAAGAGACGAGCTCGAAGAAGAAAAAGAGGAAGAGGAGGAAGAGGAAGAAGAAAGTGATGATGATTTGACAGAACTACATTTAACCAACGCCACCCCAAAGCCTAAGCTTGAAGAAGCAAGTAGTAGCCTATCAATAATATACAAGGATCCATTTGATACCGATAGCAGTAAGGGAATCAACGGAAAGAATCAAACTAGATTTGATGCTGATGCTTCCGACGATGCCCTTTCCAGGGCATTACTAGGCTGAGATATATATATATACACTCCAAAATCAGGCTTAAACCGTTGCTTAACAAATACATGTTATTTTTCATAATCTTCTATATCTTCTATGTACATTTCTTTATCTTTTCCCTTATATACTTCTATCTACTCTCTTCTGCTTTGATTAATAGTAAAAGCATAAATAAAAATATTTTGCGATAAAACATCATACGTATGTTGAACCAATATGAAAGTTGCTAGAGGTTCCTAAAAAAAAGCATAGATTATCCATATTTAAAAGAGCTGATTGGTTGAAATGCAAAGTGATCCTGAATTTCATAAATCCTATTTGCTGAAAAATAATACGAATAAACTAAGAGTTGATATGCTATTGGCCAAATAAAACATACGCGCGCGTAGATTTTATACGAGCACGGAGTTATAAATACTGCCATTTCCTTCAGTGAGTGACACGACCCGTCACGTAAAAACGCGTTTTTGTAGTGTCCACTCATATCCGTCCATACTTTTTCCCGCTCCACTTCTTGTATTTTCTTAATAATATTGCTGTCACTAATCGTGTTTCGACGATTATAGTGATTAAATATATAGTTATATTCACATGCATCCTAGAGATAAAAACGCCAGCTTAAAATCGAATAGGAAGCAACCCCCGGGAACTCTTTTTAATTATTTTAAAAAGATAAGCACAGAAAATACAATCGACTTGCCAATACGATCGACGAATTACGTTGATCTCACACTAGATCTCGACTCAGATGATGGTGATGAAAGTTACATTGAAAATCAATTAAAACATGCTACGAATAATGCTTTGAGGCGATCAAATTCATCTATTAAAACATCGCCAGCAAGCTCGCAAACCAGTACCTCAAGTCAAAACAATGTACTATCATTCAGTCAATTTGGAAGTAACCGACAAGAAATTAAAAATCAACAAAAGTATAATCTTTGGAATCCACATCAAAAAACACCAACTAGCTTTTCAAGCCAAGAAACTCAAATTACAGCGTCACCTTCACCACCTGAATCTCAGAAACGGCTACCTGTACGTTCAGTTGAACCTGAATATAAAAGACAATCAACAGATACATCATACAGTTTGACTACAAATAAGCGGCCACGTACACTCCCTTCAACCTTTGCATCCTCTAGTAGTGCATTAAAATTATCTACAAATAGCTGGGGGCAATCCATCAAAGAATCAAAAAAGGACTATTATCAATATTCAAATCCAAATACTTTTACAAAGAGCTACCCTTATTCAGCCAGTACAAAATCTAATAATCGTATGAGAAAGAAACCAATTCGTGAAGCTGAATATGCACCTCCGTTATCAGAAGAACAGCAAAAAATTATTAACATGGTTATTAAAGATGGTGAAAGCTTGTTCTTTACTGGCTCAGCAGGTAGCCATCAAAATAAAATTAATGCTAGCAATTTATTTACCGACACTTTTACTTATATTAGGAACAGGAAAGTCTGTACTTTTGCGAGGTAAATCATCAAATGTGACCGAAATGGAAGAAATATTATTAAAGCGAGATGTCTTCATAACATACTGTATAGCGTTAATTGATAAACTTCAAGAGATCCATGGTGAAGGTGTAGCTGTGACGGCATCCACTGGAATCGCGGCATGTAATATCAATGGCTCTACACTACATAGGTATTTATGAACTTTTATTCTTTATAGAATATTGCTGAAATGTACATATATTCTGTAGTTTTGGAGGAATTGGGTTAGGAAAAGAAGCCCCGCACATCCTATTTGCAAATATCAGGGGTAAATCCAAGGTTCTCGAAAGGTGGAGATCAACAAAGGTGTTGATTATCGATGAAAGTAAGACTTTTGTAGCGGACTTTTTTTTTTACTTTTTTTCTCGCATTGTTAGATTTTGGGACTGTGGCTAATATACAAGATGCATAAGCTCATATATATTAATTATCGCTAGTCTCCATGATTGACGGCGATTTGTTTGACAAGATCGAGGCTCTTGGGAGACTAACTCGGGATAGGGAAGACCCATTTGGTGGAATGCAGGTATTATTTTAAAGTTAACTATCTAAGAATATAATCTTATTTACATAAATGTTAGATTATTGCCACAGGTGACTTTTTTCAGCTTCCACCTGTAAATACATCAGGCGCAAAATTTGCATTCGAGTCGGCAGCATGGACAAAGGCTATTAAAAAAACCGTTATGCTAACACATGTCTTCCGTCAAAAAGATCAACGTAAATCAATTAATACCACCTTTTTTTAATGTGCTAATGAAAATATTAGACTTCATTGATATATTGAACGAAATGAGATTGGGTATCTTGTCTAAGGAAGCCATTGCCACCTTTAGATCTTTATCTCGTGAGCCTGTTAATAGAACAAATATTGAGCCTACTGAACTGTGAGTTTTTTCTTTGAAGTAATAACTACAACAACATACTAAACTACTCTCTCATTTTTTTCTTGGAAAGGTTTCCTCTACGAAACCAAGTCGATCAATCCAACGAAAGACGTCTTCAGGCTCTAGCAGGATCAATTTATGAGTACTACTCGGATGACACAGGCGACAGAAACAAGCTTGTTGCTTGTATTGCGCCGAACACCATTAAACTTAAAATGAATGCTCAAGTAATGCTGCTGAAAAATATGGATTCAACCCTTGTGAATGGATCGCTCGGTATTGTCATTGGATTCGCTGGTGAAGGCCAGTTTAGCAAAGCTGACAGAATCATGTCTTGTTTTGCACCAAATAAGATCATGTCAGAAAACATTTCAATTGATGAGATTAAGGCACAAAAATGCCCAATTGTTCGGTTTTCTGATAATCGTGATATTCTCATTGAAAAGGATAGATGGTCATTCGAATTGCCAGGTAATTACATCTTATTAAATTAATACACTAACTAAAGGTACTTTATGGTGGTTTAGGGGGGAAAGAAATAGCAGCTCGTTCACAACTTCCTCTCATGCTTGCATGGGCCATGTCTATTCACAAGAGTCAGGGACAGACACTGGAGCGAGTTCGTGTTGATCTCGGGCGGGTGTTTGAAAAGGGACAAGCTTATGTAGCATTATCAAGAGCTACTTCTCTGGATGCTTTACAGATTCTTAACTTTGAACCTTCCAAAGTTATGGCCCATCCTAAAGTTACTGAGTTTTATAGAACTCTTAAAACTATCTAAATAATCGTCACTATTTCCACATTGCTTGCAAATAATACATACGGATCTCTATAAACACACATATATACATATACCAAAATCCATAACTCTTACACGAAATATATGTATATGATAGTGATAGTGAGAAACACACTCTATAATCTATGAATTGTTAAATCTCTAATGGCGATTGATTTCCGCCAGTATATTTATTGTTTTCGTCTTTGTACAATCTTGAATGCTTGTTTTCACAAATGGATAAATAAAAGAGGTCAAGGAAAACAGAATGGATCATGTCGTTTTGTGTGAGTGTATAGGTGTGTATATATGTGTTTATCTTGAAAATGTTATCTCCCTTGATCGTTTATCCAATTCATTTTTTTGTCTGTAATTTTGAAAGGTCAATACGTTGGGGTGCTCCAGACAAACTCTTTGCCCATCTCTCAAGATCCACTTTCTCTGATCCTATGGATACCAAGTATTTGTGTTTCTATATTATAATATATGTGTTAATGAAAAGACAATACTCCAGCTATTCTTTTCTTACCATTAAATCACTTGGTGTAGCTCGTAGTTTAATATCCTTTATCAGACTAATGAAAAAAAAAATTAATCTATAGCCGAGACATTTGTAGTTGAATATATTAGCAAAACCTTACCACATGTCGACAAAATCGGTAAGCAGGAAAGGAAATTTGTTGGGAGGGAATGTTGGAGAAGGCTCATTGACGATATGTTGAAGCAACTCAAAGATAGATAGAGGAGTTCCCTCTGGAGGGAAAGGAAATCGGGCAAGAGCAAGCTCCATAATTGTAATACCAAGAGACCAAACATCTGATTTTACAGAGTAAGGTGATCCCATAATGCGTTCAGGCTAGAAACAACCACCGATGAGACCAACGTAATAATTTAACTATTCCAGTTTTTATTGTCGTGAACTTACACTCATGTAAGAACTTGTGCCCACAAATGTATCTGCCACTGAATTAATCAATCGTACAGACACACCAAAGTCACACAATTTGATCTGTCCCTGTGAATTGACGAGAACATTGGAAGGCTTGAGATCTATTAATTGGTAAATACAAGGCACATGTTCTACAGGATACCATTACATACCTCGATGGATGATCCGATGCTCGTCATAAAGGTATATAAGTCCATCTACAATCTGATAGCACCATTGAATTTCATCAAATGGTCAGCCTATTTTATCTTTGTTGCTTGTCCTTTTAAAAAACATATACAGCTCTATTAGATAATCAACGTACCGCATAGGCAATATGCTTTAGTACATCCAAAGGTACAGGCCCGTTCTTTTTGTAAATGTTATCGAGCGAGCTATTGATTAGAGTAAATAATTAGTTATATTGCTATTAATTGACTTAATTCCATGTTTTTTTTGACCTACCCGATATCCATATACTCCATACAAATTGAGATATCACCACCGTTCATAAACGCACCATAGAAACTGACAATATGTCGTGAATTACAGTCGTGCATAAACCGAAGCTCTCGCATGATCTGTTTTCGGACGTTGATGTTCGCTTCTACATGGATTATCTGATCCAAAACGACGGCTCTCAGAAATTTTGTATATTCCACCAAAAAAACACCCGCAATAATATCACCATGTTTATTTTACCTTTTGCGCCATAACTGTGTTAGTTCGAACATGAAGTACTTTGCATACGGTACCACCATTGCCTCTTCCCAGCTCATCGATTGAATTGAGATCTTCAGGACGCAAATCTAATCGCAATTCAAGTCCAATTTCTAAGTCACTCAGCTGTTCGCGTAGTTTACTGTATTCTACTTCGAGATCCTTGGTAGACGATCGTCGTTTAGCAGCTTCGGTTTTTGTAGTTGTGTTGCCTGGTTCTGTGGTTGAATTGGATGATGATGGACTCACAACCACTGGTGAATTTGGCAAAGTAAGGTTTTTGAAGTTACGCTTCTTTCTCAATGGTGCTTTGGAAAGCATGACAAATTATAACAGGATTTGAGGGAAGAAAAAAGAAAAAAAGAAAAGAAAGAAAGAAAAAAGATAGTGTGAATGAAGTCGGGGCGAGGGGGAGGGAGAGAGGTAAGAAAGAGAAAGTAAGCTGAGATGAACTGAAAAGGAGGGAAATTTGAACTTGAAAAATTATAAACGCGCGGACGATGGAATCTGTAAAGTACTACAGTGTTGTTACTTGAGATTGAGACAAATTAGGAATTTTTTTAGACGAATTAAATTTATTCTTGAGACACTTTTTTAGAAAAATTTAGACGGGCCTACACTTTTTTAGACGAAATCTTATTACGAATTGAGACAGGCAAGATTTTTTTTGAGACAGTTGTACTTTGTATAATAGATTGCTTTAATACAGCTTCTTTATTATACTTAAGCACAATAAGTCTTTGAATGTTCCACTCTGTATATAGTCCAGCTTTGTAAGTAGGTTACCATCAATATTTGCCAATATTAGATTAAAACAACTTGGTTTTGAAAGTAGACATCGATGTGTAGATATTTACCTGTAATTATCTAAATATCCCAAGGGGCAAACTGTTTTCATTACTGTTTTTGTTGTCGTTTCGCTGACTGCTGCTTGTTTACTTGCTTTTATCAGAACTTTGGGAAGCTGCTGGTCAATGGGTTCCTCTTCAAGTTGATAAAGCAATTGTCATAATATTTTTTGCAGCATTAGCATTTCGCTACCACAGTGTATTACAGGTTCTACAGACTAGTAAAGAAAGAACAGCTTTAGTTCGTCAAAAATTTCAAAAATTCTTTTATAAAATAAACACAACTTGAGCATCTCTTTTTGACCAGTATCCAACCTTTGGTGTGGCTAATATACATTATATATAGTGTTTTCCGAAATGTAACTGCTGTAGATGATCTTAACGAATCTGAGTACTTGTGCAAAAATAAAAATACAAAATTCATAAGTCAAGCCGGTCTCTAAACTTCTGATAAAACCAAGCAAACAGGCAGCAATAATCACAGCAATAACAATAATAGTCTAGTTAGGGTAACGTAACCAGTTTGGCTCTTTGAGATGTTCAAACAATTACAGGTAAAGTGTCTAAATAATTATCTACTTTGTCTGAAAACTAACTTTTCTTTGTTGAAACATTCCCAAATTTGTCTCAATCTCGAGTAGAAGCACTGTATTATTTTCTTACTTATGCGAAACTTTCGAAATAGATTTCTGGTAGATGTATCATGTACTCATTATTATTATTAAGCAAATGGTATTATATAATGTAAAGTAAGATGGAAGGGAGGGGAGGTCATAGTGTTTGTCTCTTCAAACAATAGAAATATGTATTCGGTATGTGACCTCAACTAAAAGTCTTAAATATAGCAATATCTAGTAGCAATAAACTCGTCTATAAATATAAAAGGCAACCAATGTAAGAAGTGTGCATTTACTGAAAATGTGACAAGTTGTTTTATTACTAGCATATATATATATTCTTTTATAGCTTTATACGCATATCTATGTTTTGTAAATAGGCAAGTACAAGGACAATACATGCTTGGAGATAATGTCTATATATTTGTTTATTTATTTATTGAAGGTAAATATTAGGTATATATATAATTCCAATCGGTGAATCCTAAATGCCTATCCAAGAACGTCCATCGGTGCTCCACATCTTGTTCTTGTGCTTCAAAATCTGCTGTAATAAAAAAGAAAGAAAGAAAAAAATATAAAAGTACATACCTGCAAAAACAAACACGCAGAAAAAAACGGACCCAACGAGAAAAAAAAACTAACTAAAAACACAGTACGAAGTTGGGGACATCTCACTCATACGACATCCGGTGGATCAGCACAACACCGAGATGAAGGACGACTAAGCATCAAAAAAAGAAGTTGGCGCAATGCCTTGAAATCCTCGGCCTCGTACTCAGAATCCTGGACACCACCAGAGCTCAGTCAGGGTCCCGAAGGTTAACCTGTTGGCTTGAACCTCGTTATATACAAAATAAGAACAAGATAAAATGCTGAGATGTTTTGCTTTAGCTTATGTTTTAGAACGATTACTCACCGATTAAGGAGCTCACCAAAGTACTCGCGTACTCTAATGAACTCGCCCGCTGGACCGCTATTTTATTTTTGAAAAAAAAATTATGCAGACAAAACACGTTAATATCTTTTCATGTCAAATTGGTAAGTAGTAAGCATGGAGATTAGCAGCAGATTTTTGCACACAAGAACAAGAACAGGAGTGGTTTTCTAGGCTTCTGGCCATGTCTTGCTTTCAGTCTATTGTAAATAACAAATAAAAAGTTAGATCTTGTTCAAGAGTAATGCGCATGAGGTTGGTAGCATTAGCCATTCACTCGTTTTCTTGAATCCGTCAAAGTTGAAAATATGGAGCGCCTCTTTAAAAAGAAAAAGGCGAAAATATGTTCAGGCTAACTTATGACACCGAAAGAGACGTATTCGAGCTGGCTTTAACACGCTGGTGGTCTTTACATTCGTTACTTACCTGGTGTAAACGTAGACTGGCCTAAAGAGAGGGAAATACAAATAAACAGACGCGTATGCCCTTGAAATAATTTTTTCCTACGCCAATACAGATGACATCATCATCTATTTGTGGTGCAAGCATTCTTACCCATTATGAGAGAATTTATTAGAGCAAAATAACTATTTTTCTTAGAGGTCAGGGTTTCGCTATTGGCGTTTGCAAGTAGGCTGATGTTTTATATATTAAACATCTCACTGATTAGCTCTATGGTTTTTATATCGTATCTATTAGTCACATTCCATATGTGTTAAGCAGATTTATTATATTAAATTTGTATACTAACAGCTATGATCTATTGTAGATATTTTTTACAAATTATTTAAATATTCTTGGAATTTTAAAACATATAATATACATACTTGTGCTAGGTTGATATACAAAGATATATAAAGAAAAGTATATATAATTTTTGGTTGTTATTGAGTGTTTCCATACATGAAGCTTTAGTAGTTTCCTGCGTGATAAGTATAACAAAACTACTATATATGTTCAAAGATTGTTTTCTACTGATATTCTGACCTTTCTATTATAAGAATGTCAGATATAAATTGTATTCATATTTATATGTATTTGAGTTTTGTATATGTGTATAAGCGAAATACATATCATGTATAATGCCTAACCGTCTTGAATTTAATACGAGTCAATGACTGTTATAATAATATCAACATAAGAAGATTTAAGAAGGTATTATAGTGTAATTATCCAACGCATACCAGAAATTACAGGGCAAGTGCGGGTATCTATATGAGATGTTTAGGACAGTTTATCATTGATTAATATCATATCAAGTATAGTGAGTAATGAAAAAATTGGATGTATATTTGTGGTGAAGATTCTAATACATATTAATCTATGATTTCCTTGAGGTATTCGGGGTTGTTTATGGACTAGTATCTCAATAATGGGAAAAGTAGATACTATGAGAGTATTATTTAATAAAGAGATATATAATACGAATCTTTTTTTTCTGTGAAAATTACACCATCATCATTTTATGTGATTTCTCTTTGTAAAGTTTAAAATTTGCTAAAATAACTGACTCAATTTTTTTGTAAGTAGCATCATCACTATAGCATTAACTGTATATTTTAGTGAAGTATTCAGTCATTGTTGTTGCAAAATTGGTATTGCATTTATCGATTAATCAACCTTGTTCATAAAAAACTTGAGATTGATCTCGGGTAAACTGAAGGTGAGGTTATACTCTATTTTGGCCATATCCCTAACAGAACCCTCAATATTTAATTTATACTACATAGTCTGGGGTAGCTGACTTTCCGGTGCCAATTACCCCTCCTAATAAAATGTTAAACTTCGATTTCTTCAGTAGTATCAATTTCCTAATTTCTTTCATTTTTTATCTATATATGATTACCATTCCTATTTAGAGCTCTTAAAAAAGTCAGTGAACATATGTTATATCTTGCATAATAATACCTAAGCATCCGATAGTAATCCCATTCTCTTGAGAAAAAATCTTGCTACTTTCAACTATTGGTATAACTTCATTTCAATAAAACTCAGCCTTTAGTTCAAAATCACGCCCCTACCGTATTGTAATGAGATCCGGATAATATAGATATATACTCTACTTCTTTTTCTACACCTTACTTGTCGGCTAATATCATTTTGAAATATACGTGGATTTATTTTCTAGTACTTGTTGGGTCTCTTTTGTGTCTACTTGTACAAGCAAAAAAAACCTGGGCACTCTAAAAAGCGCACAGACCAGCTTAGAGTAACCTACAAATCGCCGTTATAGAAACTTGTACTCCACTTTAAGAGTTATTGCTACACCGATCCAAACTAAACCATTCGCTACTATTTTTACTTCTTTACTTCTTTGCTTCACTTTACTTTGCAAAGATATTTTGCACAGATGTTTTAGTTAAATTTTATAAGCTGCTACTACTGTCATAGAATAGTTACACAATCCTACTAAAAAAGAGTATACAGCTATGTCACTGCTCTGACGTGGGAGGCAAAAAACACCCCTGGCAAAAAAAAGCGCAGTCCCAAACTTTAGTCGCAGACTGCGGGTATATCAAAATAAAGCCCATTCAACCGACACGGTTTTCTTCTCTTTAGCTTTTTTTATACTCTGGAGACGGGTACCCCCTGATTGCCTGTAGTTGAGTTTGACGCGCTACCTATGGGTGATTGGGAGACATTCTTTTTCCATTCTGTGCAGGAAAAAGCGGAAGTGCGTCGTCTCTAGCTTCTTAGTTAATTCTTAGAGGCGCAGATCAACATTGTTCTGAATTGTGAATTTAATTGTATAATTTCTGAAACAATGGCGACGAGCAATGTTTAAAAAAAGCTGCCGCCGAGTTAGCATCATGAAAGTTTATTGAGTGGAGGACGGGGAAGAAGTGGAGTTTACTGCCGACTCTTCATGAAATCCTTGTTCGAAGCTCTCTGGAACTGACGGTGTTGCTTGGTAGTCGAACACGCTGGACCCTGCTACTTTGTGGTAGGTTTCTCTGGTACGTTCGCAGGCCCTTCTCAGTGATGAGATAGGGTAGTTGGGATGAACCCGGTTGTTGTCTTACGCCACGGATTAACACCATTCCCACACCTCCTTCGCTACCAAGTCAGGTTTACGTCCTGAGGGAGATTGAGCCGCGTAATGCGGGGACAAAGAACTTGGTGTCATGCTTTTTATTTTTTTACATTAGTAAAAAAACATTAAGTGAAATCATATAAAATAGAATAGCTTCTTTATGTATATCTTTAATAAATAAATAAAATAATTTTTAAGCTGTTGTTGACTCTAATAAAAAAAATACGCGTTCAAACTTTTTTTACTTGATTGAAGAGGTTAATGTTGTAATTAGGAGGGCTCAATTATAAGAAAAAATTAATCTGGTCGAATAAATATGAAAAGGAGCAAAGTAAAAGATACAATATAGTCTAATAACATGTATGCCTTTATCATTGTGTTTATTACCGCGTTTGATTGTACATGATGTTTTTGTCTATAAAGTCTGTAAGGAAACCTCATAATAATTTCTGAGAATGCCGATGGTACGAGATATATTACTTAATTTAGCTAATCCTGATGGACATTGTAAAGATGTATTGAGAAGAGAAAGAGAGAAAGAGAGAAAAGTAAAAAAAAAGAAGAAGAGAGATGAGGGGGAATGAAGAAATATGTGTTTGAAAGAGACACAGAAAATGCGCGGTGAATTGAATACACAAATTAATATTATCATTATATTTACACAGACTGTATACAAGAAGTTCAATATGGGTATATTTATAAGCTAAGCATTATTATCTACAGACATTTTTGCACTTTGAATATCAATGAACGCTTCGTACCCTACATTCGTTAACGCATATACACATACGCAATCATACTCACAGTGAAGAATATGACTTGAATTCGAATAAGAGTGAACAAAGTATTGACACAATACAAAATATATCCTCACAGTATTCTGCATAAAAACAACTTGTCAAAAAACTACAAATAGCTTTTCTTCTACACTTTAAATAGAAATTAACAGACAAAGTATATTGAGTAGCAAGACATAAATATCATAAAAGAGACACATTTTCATATTGAATTGTATAGAGTGGAGTGGGGTTTTGATACACGCCGGTTATTACAACTGATTTATTGACAGAGTTGATTTTCATGTCATTTTTTTTTTAGTTTTGGTTTGTTTAGATAAAAGTGCTCAAAAGATACTATGGTTTTGTCATTTCAATATTGTCAATTTTCTTTAAACGACTAACAAACTTTATTTTATTTTTTCATTTAATTTTGAAGGAATTGATAAAGATATATTATATCAATAAAAGACAAACTATTAATCTATATTGATAAAAAACTCTTATGCATATTTTCATATGTGAGATATTGAATGAAAGTGTTTTCTGAAAGTGTTTCAATCTGCTTAAAACCCTCTCCTTTTGGTAATGCCTACTAGAAAAGGGTACTATATCTCTAATCTATATAATAGAGTCCGTAAAATAATAAGGACATATGACCTTAGGAAGTCATAGGATAGGTCTGTCCTTTAGAGTATGTAATACTCTAAAATAAAATATGTATAGCTTAAGAAGAAATTAAATGCGGAATTTAGATTTTTCTTTTACAAATGTGATAATCCGCTTATCCTACTGTACTTCTTTACCAAAAAATACTTTGAAAATATCTTGAAAAAAAATACATATTTATATAAGCCTTCAAGTTACTCTTGCCTAACAATAGCTTCTTAGGGTGTACTCCACACAAAGTAATTTGAATTGAAATAAATAACCTGAAATGAACCTCTACAGAGAGAAAGAAGAAAGTAAGAGAAAAGCTAAAACAGACCCTAGCATATATCGGTCAGCATCTACAGATAATCTAACTGTATTCCAAAAGCAACATCGATGGATTAGAAAGGTGGCTTTTTTAAAATAAA